TTACCACCTATCTTCTCACACACACACACACACACACACACACACACACACACACACACACACACCTAACACAGAAACTGCATTTTGTACTGAGAATGGAGAAGAGGGTGGAGGAAAAGGTGGAGATGGTATAGAGGAGAGTGGTGGGGACAGGTGGGGGAGAGGTGGGGGAGAGGGTGGAGGCTGTGAGGGAGAGTGGATCTTCATGTCGTTATAATGTGTCACTTAAATGTTGATATGTTGCCTCTCTCTCTCTCTCTCTCTCTCTCTCTCTCAACCTAACCTATTTAATGATCAGGGTAAATAAGCCAGGGTGCCCAATCTTCAGGTGCTCAGGTTAACACTATTAAATATACAGCTTGAAATGTGAAATATGGGCGTGGATAAAGTATTCGACTCCTCACCCAACGGCCACCAGTTCGAATCCCTGTTGCTGGAATTGATGGCGAGACAGTGTCATACCGGTGCGTCTTTTTGCTTCCTAAAGTCTCACTATTCAGTATACTATATCCACACCGCCCCTAACTGGACATCAAGAGTGTGAGATGGATTTTAACTTTTTATAATATAATAACTCCCAGTCGGTGCATTAACTTAGGCTGTGTGTGTGTGTGTGTGTGTGTGTGGGTGTGTGTGTGTGTGTGTGTGTGTGTGTGTGTGTGGGTGTGTGTGGATGACCCCTCCCAACTTAAACTACTAACAGAGTACATGTAATGAATTAGTAAATTTCCTCAGTACACACAGACCGAGGAAGAGGCTAGAGAGGGAGGACAATAGTAGTATACCTGGATTTACCTTAATTAATTAACCTTTACCTCAACACACCTGGGGAAGAGAGAGGTACAGAGATCATACTTGGTTAGGTTAGGTTAGGTTAGGTTAGGTTAGGTTAGGTTAGGTTAGGTTGTTTATAAGTTACGGTTTTTTGATGATATCGAAGGAATATATCAGACGGTCTATCCAAATCACTCGAGTTGTTCAGAAGTTGGTGACAAATTGTGTTCCTGTGAGAGCTGTTCTATATGACTTGTTCCAGCCCCTCTGTTGACAAGGTGGGGGAGAGGGGAGCGAGAGAAGAGGAAGGAGACTTGGGGTTAGAGAGGAGAAGGAAGAGGAGGGGAGGAAGAGAAGGTCGTTAGAGAGGAGGAGGAGGAGGATGGAAGGAGGGGAGGAGGAAGAAGGCTTGGCGTTGTTTCAGTAGCAGGAAGAGAGAGGGTTGGAAGGAATGAAGGAGGGAAGGAGAGAAGGAAGAGAGGGAAGGAGAAATTGAAGGAGAGGGAAGGAGAGAAGGAATAGAGGAAAGGAGGAAGGGAGGGAAGGAGAGAAGGAAGAGAGGGAAGGAGAAATTGAAGGAGAGGGGGCAAAGTAAACTAGTGAATAATTTAAGGTTCATTATTCCAACGCTCAGCCAACTGCTGTCTACGTCTCCTACACCAACACACCTGTCCAGGTAAACAACACACCTGTCCAGATAAACAACACACCTGTCCACGTAAACAACACACCTGTCCACGTAAACAACACACCTGTCCACGTAAACAACACCTATAAATGAGTTACAGTAGAAATAATGTCTATACACACACACGCTTGAGATTAAATGACAGTCGTTCAGAGGCAGATGACAGTGGGCCTTGATGGGAGAGAGAGAGAGAGAGAGAGAGAGAGAGAGAGAGAGGGGGGCATTGTGTGTTTATCTATGTAAGTGTTAGGTAGGTAGGGAGGTAGGTGGGGAGGATGGAAGGTAGTTAGTGAGGGAGGGGTGAAGTTAGGTAAGTAGTAGGGAGGAAGGGAGGAAGGAAGGGAGGGAGGAAGGGAGGGAGGGAGAGAGGAGGGGAAGGAGGGAGGGAGGGAATAAACGTAGGCCTAGGCTCCTGGTATGAGAATAACAGGTACACAGGCCTTGTACACACCTTGAAGCAATCTCTCTCTCTCTCTCTCTCTCTCTCTCTCTCTCTCTCTCTCTCTCTCTCTCTCTCTCTCTCTCTCTCTCTACAGTTTACCACAGCTGAGAGAGAAAGAGATAGAAAAGAGAAAGTGAGAGCGAAAGTGTGTGTGTGTGTGTGTGTGTGTGTGTGTGAGAGAGAGAGAAGGTTAAAGTTAAGTGAGAAAGACGTTTAAAAAAATTGTCTTAAAGCAAAACTTTCACCTCAACCAGTAGACCATTATGTGTAGTGAATGTTGTATGACCGTGTGTGTGTGTGTGTGTGTGTGTGTGTGTGTGTGTGTGTGTGTGTGTGTTTATCTTGCATGAAGGTGTGCTTGTTGTGCATGTGTATGTCTGTAAATGAGCAATACTTATATATGCACATTTCTCCATGTATGTATGTATGTATGTATGCATATATGTCTTGATATATGTATGTATGTATGTATGTATGTATGTATGTATGTATGTATGTATGTATGTATGTATGTATGTATGAGAAAGATCACAAAACAATGACAATCCAAACCTTTTCTGATACTTGAACCTCGAGGGTGGGTGAGCGGGGGTTCAGGTACCATCCTACCTGAGATAGATTTCAAGGTCCCGGGTTCGATCCCTTGTCTCTTCAGCGAACAACTTCACCTGGGATTAAAGTGAACCGACTCACCTGGGTAGTTTGCTTGTGTTTCATGTGTTCAGAGATGTGTGGCTATAGTGTACTGCGGGATGATGTTGTATTTAGGTTAGGTTTGGTTAGGGAGGGGAATTTCAGTCTATCTCTACCTGTGGATTAATTAGTTTACCTGTACCTGTGTCTTAATTAGCTTACCTGTACCTGTGTCTTAATTAACCTACTTGTACCTTTCTTCCTGCCTTCCTTCCTTCCTTCCTTCTTTCTTCGTGCTGGTTCCAAGTCTTTGCCCAGTGTCAACTTGGTGAATAATACAAAAACCTGGAGATGAAGGGGGGAAGGGAGGGAGGGAGGGAGGGAGGGAGGGAGGGAGGAAGGGAGGGAGTGCTAGTGAGGAGGGAAGGAAGAGAGAAGGGTTAGTAGAAGGAAGGAAGGGAGTGTAGGAAGGGAAGGAAGGAAGGAAGTAGAGGAAGGGAAGGAAGGAAGTAGAGGAAGGGAAGGAAGGAAGGAAGGAAGGAAGGAAAGAAGGAAGGAATAAAGCGAGTGAAGGTAGGAAGGAAGAAATGGAAGGAGGGATTGAAGGAAGGAAGGAAGGGTGCACTCAAAGGTGCCCGAGGCTTCAGAAAACGATTTTCACTTGAGTTTGTCTAAGCTGCCAGACCCTAACTTGTTGGGGGTGTTGTTTGTCTTTGTTTGTTATGGTTATTGTTTGATATTGTTTGTTATCTTTGTTATTGTTTGATATTGTTTGCTGTCTTTGTTATTGTTTGCTATTTTTGTTGTCTTTGTTATTGTTGTCTATTGTTATTGTATTTGTTATTGTTTGCTATTGTTTATTGTCTTTGTTATTGTTTGTTATTTTGATTGTTTATTATTGTTATTTGTTTTGTTATTGTTGTTGTTGATATTGATTACTCAAACAATTTATTAGACTAAAAAAATAAGTAGACAAACAATTATTTAGACTCATATCAGACTCACCGGAATATAGACGCCGATTATACTAAAAAAATTATTAAGCGTCATAAAACTTAACACAGGAAAACACGTTCCAGATTTATATTTCCAAGAAAGGGGCAACGAAAATATTCCAGATTTGGTTTCTTGGAAAAAATCGAGAAATTATGTGCCAGTATTTTATTTCCAGGTAAACGGGTGAAAGATATATTTTCGAATTAATTTCCAGAAGAGTATGTTAAGAAATATGTTCCAGCATTTATTTCCAGGACAAAATGTTGAGATAATATTCCTTATTCTATTTCCAGGAATAAAGACTGAAATAATATATGGAAGGAAAATGGGAAAAAATAATGTTCTATTCACTTCCAGGAAAAATATTCAAAAATAAAGGAAAAGGGGATTCCAGACTTTATTTCCAGATATAGATATTGCATAATTAAATTCCAGTTTTTATTTCGAATGCACTTCTAACACAGGTATCCTCAAGTCTTCTCCTCTCTGTCGTCACCCCTAGTGTTGTGTTGATAAGTTACCCTAGTAATGTCACTACCAGGTCATTTTAGAACTACCACTCCCAGGTCACCTTAGAACCTGTGATGTTTGGTCACACTGGAGGTCTCGAACCCTTGATATATTCGTAAGAGGTACTTGCATTACCACCAATAATAATGTGTGTAGTGTACGGCTGTTTAAAGAACCAATTAAATTTACTTTACACACAAAGGAAAACCTTTCAAGTGTCGTCAAATTTTTGTTTGTTAAAGTAATTTTATATATGTGAAAAGATGACAAGGAGTAATACCCCTTTAATGGCGGTCCTCACAGAAGAGAAGTCACAGAGGAGGGGAACCTTTTAAATGTCTAAAATACCCAAATAGCTTCACAGATACATATCAATACAGTTTACAACACTTCATAAATAATTATAGCCCTCTACACAGAACACATGGAAAGAGGGAATACACATGTTCCCCCTGTGGTAATTTAGAGGGAAATGTGTTTTCTGTGGCAGTTACGTATCTTTTTCTTTTTAATGAGGTGTCCTGTGTTATACAAGTGTCTGTGAGGAAGAACAAGAGAGGTTATTGACCTTTTCACTTTACAGTAGAATTATGTGAACGATTCATAAACTGCTGAACATAATGTGCTCAACTATATGTATATAAATCATAGACATAACACATGTATTAAGATCTTTATTTCATTACTATTATTAATATTAACACCAATAGCTTTATCAATAACGCTATTAATATTTTATATACCTGTAGAAGATTAGTTAGTGTATTTACATTTTATATACATATTACATATTAGACTTATTTAGCTATATTTTACAATCACAACAGAATTCAAATAAAATGTTTGGTACCTTTAACGTAAATATATATTTAAGTTAAATAGTATTAACAATATAGTGATTTAATCAGTATACCGTAAATAACAATGTACAAACTTATAACTTCACCTGTATTTAAAAAGCCTTGTGTTGATGTGGCTGGCCTCGGCGTCTGGCTGCTGTGACACAATAACATTACTATTTTTACCTTCATATTACCTTTATTTACTATTTATTTTACTCTAAGGTAAGCTGATGTTAACCTTTTATGATTATATGATGAGGTGATAGTAAGATATTGATTACTTAGGGAAGATAAATTAGAATTATAAGAGGTTATTATTCAAGGTCAGGTGACAGTAGTGTTAATTATCTCGTTGGGTTTTAGTCAGTTTAATCTCAGGATTTATATTTGTTTTATTAATATCTATGATGTGGTGAAGGTAAATTAATTAGTTAAAGGTACAGTGAAGTTGTGGAGTTATTGCCTCAAAAGTGACCTTAAAATTTCGGGTCCGACTAATTACCCAAATGTAGCCGGAATGAAGTCAAATAATGGTCCTAGATGAATAAATCGGACTGCCAATCACTTCTCGACTAGTATTTGGTGTCACGAAGTAAAAAAAAATTGGTAAACTTAATTTAATCTGAGTTAATAGATCAAGTGCATGTACCTAACCTAACCTAATATATTCTAATCTAATCTAACCTAACACAACACAACTCAGATTAAATTAAGTTTACCAATTTTTTTTTTACTTTATGACACCAAATAATAATCGAGAAGTGATTCACAGCCCGAATTATGCTTGTACGACCAGCATTTGACTTCATTGCAGCTACATTTGGGTAATTCCTCGCTCCGTCGGTACATGCACGCGATCTATTAACTCAGGTTAAAGTAAGTTTTCCAATTTTTTGTGACTTTCTGACACCAAATACTAGTCGAGAAGTGATTGGCAGTCCGATTTATTCATCTAGGACCATTATTTGACTTCATTCCGGCTATATTTGGGTACATTTGGGTAATTAGTCGGACCGTAAAATTTCTGATATTACGATATAGGATCATTGCCACCATAGTTTGTTCAGTCACGATTTATTCACCAGAAGCTTTGGTTTAGATGTAGTTTAGGTAATTAAATATATTTGATGAGACCTTAAAACACCTACAGTATTTTCATAACTTGTTTAATTTTGTATTATTCCAATATTAAAATAATTTACCTTAATGTCTTTCCATCACAATATTTTCTTATTTTCTTATAATTTTTAGCAGAAATTGTTCTCGTAATGGTACAGTAATCGCATTTTTCTATGATATTATTAACGTGTAATAATATGACTTTAAAAATTGCTACTGATGTATTATTTTATGACCAGAGTGAAGTGATGGTGCTGCTTCATGGATTATTGGTTGCCCAGAGAGACCATTCACCATAATGGACTATCAAGTTAAAAGTATCGGGTCTGGCAGTGATACACAAAGCTCATTCCAGCCCAGTATGTGTGACATCCAGCACCCGGCGGTAGACCAGAACTCTGAAGACAGAGCAACTGAAGTGTGTGAGATAGTCAAGGAGGATGAAGTTAGTCAGACATCCCAGGAAGACAGACAAGAGGACATTTCAGATGCTGTGGAGTTTCTCAGTGTTGAATGTGACATGATTTTAGAGCCTGAATGTGACCTACAGACTGACAACCACGTGAGTTATAAAGGTGGACGAGGCAAGAGAGACAAGGTACGGACGAGCGCCGCCCCCAGAGGCAGTAACACGGTGTTGCCCATCATCTATCAACTTCCCCTCATTGCAGAACTCTTTCGTTATCGTGATGTTGACGTTTACAAGCGCACATGTAAGGATGGACCGTTTGTGAAAATTTTTAATCCGGTCTCATCTGTCTCAAAGAATGCGAAGAGAAGTAAACACAGAGTGAAACGCACATTAAACAATAACGTTCATGGGCTCGGAGTGGTGAGTCAGGAAGACACCGGTAATGTCAGCTGCACAGAACTAGAAATATCATTTTCAGGGGAGGGAGATGCCAACGATGAGTCTCAGGGCCATGTAGATGATCCACCAAATAAATGTGAAATATGTCAAAAGCAGTTTCTGGATAAGAATGCCTTGATGACACATAAATTAACTCACATAATTGTAACAGGGAAATCTTATCCTTGTACGGTGTGCGAGGCAAAGTTTACAAGCAAGGTATATCTCAGGGCCCACATACAACGTCACTTTTGCTTAAAGAGCGTCCAGTGTCAGTTTTGTGACGAGACATTCCAGACTAACAATCAGTACGTTATTCATCAACGTGTACACGTGGATGAAAAGCCATTTCAGTGCCAATATTGTGAAAAGGCTTTCAGCAATAAATTCCAGTTTGATAATCATGAAAAGACTCATGCTGGTAAAGGCCTTCTGAAGTGTGAGTACTGTGATGCAACCTTTACACAGAAACAAGCACTTGTTGTGCATGAGCGCAAACACACGGGAGAAAAGCCTTTTAAGTGTGAAAAGTGTGGCGCAGCATTCAGAGTTCGGTCATACTTGCGGGCTCACAAAAAGTGCCACATGGATAGAAAACCACGAGAATGTCCTGACTGTGGTTCACAGTTTTGGAAGAGCTCGGCTCTCAAGAAACACAGAAAGGCTGAACATGACATGTAATGTTACACGAGTCATCTCAATATAATAATAGAGTTTACCTTCAGTGTATCATCTTACTATAGTATCTTAGTCTAAGAAAAGAACCATGAAATCACAGTTACAGAAATGACTATTACCTAAGTGTCATAGAGAGGTATACACTATATATATAAAGTATAGCATTTATTTATGTAAATTTTATACTAGTACAGTATATGTGTAGAATTTAGCTGAAAATTTTATATATCATACCATATGTAATGTATATGTAATGTCTTTTTTGTGGAATTGGTTATTTTTCAAAATGACCAGCATGCATATTGGTTATTTTTCAAAATAACTTACAAACAGACAACCTAAACTAACGTAACCTTATGGTTAGGACAGCACATTGTCCACAATATAAAAAAAGAACAGGACCACTTAACTGTGTATCAAGTTACACGAGTCATCCTAACCTAACCTAACCTTATTCAACCATAAGGTTAGGTTAGTTTAGGTTGTCTGTTTGTAAGTTATTTTGAAAAATAACCAATATGCATGCTGGTCATTTTGCAAAATAACCAATTCTGCCAAAAAAAAGTAACATATATATACTGTAATGTACTTTGCAGTATTTCAACATACTTTGGCTTGATCTTATTATGATTAGCACTAGTTATACAGTATATTTTTTCTTATAAATTTTGTAAATCTTCAGCCACATTTTCTCATGCTGTTTGATTTGTAACATTATTTATCAGTCTGTCGAGTTCTGTTTTGTATTGACATATTGCCTTGTTATATATTCTCTCCTTAAAGCATTCCTGTTCAGTAAGGAGGTTGTTTGGCTCTGGTCACCTGTGAGTGCACTGCCTTAGACAATTGGTTACACACATATGCACTGCCGAGGGTAATGTTCTTTGCTTGATCACCTATGAAATCACTGCCACGGGTACTGTAACTTGTTCCTTCATCTACTGTTAGCTTGGTACATTGTTGACTGAAATATTGTCTCACAGCTTGGTGTGTATTTATAAATTGTACTTTGTTCTCTCCGAACAGACTATACTGTACAGTATCTGCTTTCTTCAAACTTTTATTACCGGTACTTCCCCAATATGTCTGTCATTCTAGTAACTTACTCGTTCTATAAATACTTGCATCAATAACTCATTTTTAGCAGTGCTGGCAGTTGTGTGTGTGTGCGTGTGTGTGTGCATGCGTGCGTGCATGTGTGTGTGCGTGCAATTTCTCTTGCAATATGTACAGTTGTGGACAAAAACTAGGTGTAGCGGTTAAAAGTGTGTATTTTCCTTTTCACACCACAAATTTATTTTTTTTGTTTAATTATAGGGCAGACGTAGCTTACACTCCCTCCTTGCCGAATTCTTAGTCCACAACTAGACAAAAAAAATGTGTTAAATAATTGATTTACCTTAACTCAGGTGTTTAGGGGAGAGCCCGTGTAATGGCAGTACAATGCATAATTATGTGAGATACAAATTTTGGATTGTGTGAAGATTGGGCATCCCCCTCATGCTACCCAAGGGATTACTTTGGTTAATCTGAAGATGAAACCAGGTGGGAGTGCCGAATCTTGACATGATTTTAAAGATCGTATCACTAGTACCATATCACAAATTTTCTGTCTGAATCTCAGTGAGTTTTAATGTAGTTATTCTTTAAGGTAGGCTGACAGCAGTGATTCATCTTGGTACTGTCAGTGAAGGTGTGTTCATTCACCGAGTTTTCTTCTACGATGACTATCAATACCTCCACCTTTGAGTAAGCAGCTGTGACTCATTTACTGGGAGGGAGATCTGTCTAACTTAGGTCTACAGTATATAGTACAGTGAGGAATTTGGTGTGTATTCAAAATTGTATTTTTTTTTATTTATTAATTTTATTTTTTTATTGTATTGACGGCCAGAATCAGTAGCAACATACACGCATTTATCTTGTCATTCAGTCATTCGTGCTGCTTTAACCGTACGTGTTACTGCAGTATATATTCACCTCGCTTTAGGTTTTGATTCGTACATCGTTACAGGAGAGATTTTGTTATTTTTATTTTCCCACTACAAGGAGACTTTAAGCACAGGCACATTCAGTACACAGTCTCTCCTTTTTCTCTTCATTCTTTGTCATTTAGTCATAATTATTGGCACAAGAGATTGTATTCTGTTCTAGGACTTATCATACACGATAAGGCCCTAAATTTTGGCTTTCAGTTTGCCTTTTCAACTAAAACTCCTTTCTCTCTTGATCTTACTTCCTTCATTTATACTCAACTCCCTTTTTTTTATGCCTCTCAGGAAAATTTCATTCATCAAATTTTTTCTTTTCAAGTTACCTTCTTGTCACTCATTACATGCATCTCAATTCCCAACTTTATTTACTTTTGCTTCTTCTTCTTTTTCCTCAGATACTGTACAAGTGAGAGAGTTCACCAGCCAGCTTCATGACCCCAGACTAGAATGGGTGTTAGTCAAGCTTCGTCCAGATAACTTGCTCGTATGTCCATAAAAAGGTTTGTAGACAGATGAGTTAGGATTTTCTAAGTTGGGCACCATATTGGATTTAGCATAAATTAGTGCAGTTCATGTTTTGATTTGATTTTATATATCTGTCTGCATAACATTATTTTTGAATTTACAAAGGAATAGTCATAGTTATAAATATGTAATGAATTCATGTTATTTATGGAATGTGTTGCAATATATGTTATGTGAACATTAAGGTACATACTCTAAATTATAAATGTATAGAAATCCTCAAGAAAATGTATATTATTTGGAGAAAAAAAAATATATATTAAAAAAAATGGCTCCTTGCTTTCATTCGAGAGTTACACATAGGATAAGTGATAAATAAATACTGTTTTATCCATTTTTAGTTCAATACTTGATACCAAAGAGACTTAAAATCAGCGAGTGACAGACACCCATACAGATACAATAATATCTCCGTTAGATGGAATCCCTCAAACCCGGAACTCTCCGATAGCCGGAATTGAAATTTTCTCAGAAAATTTTTCCCAAAACTGGAGTTTTCCAAAAAATTCCGGGTTTGGGAAAGAGTTTCCGAACGGCACATATTACAGAAGGTTCAGAGAAAAATTTTCTGGTACCCTTAAAATTCCGGGGATGTGGGATATTTTTCTGGGTTTGAGAGATGATGTACTAATGGCCAATTTCTGGAACGTCTGAGAACATTTTTCTCTTACCCGGAAAATTCCGGAGACGAGGGATTTTTTTCCGGCTATGAGAGAGTCATCTCATTACCTGGAAATCTGTAATTCCCGGAAGTTCTCTGCACCAATTGTTCCAGCTAACGGAGATATCACTGTATTTATTTCTCGTTAACTGCTGAACCGATTTTGATGCATTAGGACCCAATAGATAGAAAAATTATAATAACAGAGGGTCATATAGGGTGTTAGTACTCTACGTAAAATTTTTAAAATATGCAACTATACAGTATTGAGAATTTGGTTGATACAGTGGTGCTATTCTATGAACTTATTATATAGTACCCCAGAGGTCACAATTGTCATCTATGATAAACCCTTACACTTAAGCTTTTCTGGGTCTTATTTTAGAAACACATCTTACCTGGTTGATTTTATTGGTTCACCGACACACTATACAGAGCACCTTAAGTATGAAAGATGCATTTTTCATGACATACAAAGAAGAGGTGATTTAATGAGTTGCCATACAAAGAAATGATGATTTAATGAGTTGCCATACAAAGAAATGATGATTTATTGAGTTGCCATACAAAGAAATGATGATTTAATGAGTTGCCATACAAAGAAGTGATGATTTAATGAGTTGCCATACAAAGAAATGATTTAATGAGTTGCCATACAAAGAAATTATGATTTAATGAGTTGCCATACAAAGAAGTGATGATTTAACGAGTTGCCATACAAAGAAATGATGATTTAATGAGTTGCCATACAAAGAAGTGATGATTTAATGAGTTGCCATACAAAGAAATGATGATTTAATGAGTTGCCATACAAAGAAGTGATGATTTAATGAGTTGCCATACAAAGAAATGATGATTTAATGAGTTGCCATACAAAGAAGTGATGATTTAATGAGTTGCCATACAAAGAAATGATGATTTAATGAGTTGCCATACAAAGAAGTGATGATTTAATGAGTTGCCATACAAAGAAGTGATGATTTACTGAGTTGCCATACAAAGAAGTGATGATTTAATGAGTTCCCATACTAAAAAGAGGCAAGGTAATAAATTGCCATACAGAGAAGAGATGATCTAACAAGTTGCCATACAAAGAAGAGATGATTTAATGAGTTGCCATACGAAGGACATGATTTGATGAGTTGCCATACAAAGAGATGATTAATGAGTTGCCATACAAAGAGATGATTAATGAGTTGCCATACAAAGAAGAGATGATTTAATGAGTTGCCATACAAGGGACAGCTGTATTAATCAGTTACACAAAGAACAACTCGGCTTGGATACACATTAGAAGGATGTTGTCCAGTCTGACTCTGAATACCCAACATAAGTTCCCCAAGTCCGGTTTCCTACTGTAATGAAAAAAAAAAGCCATTGACTATTTTGATCTTTACTATGTGTGAGGTGATAATGAATTAGACTTATTGCAGTACAGTAATAGGTTAGGATGGGTTTTACAATCACTAGTATATTTCTAATTGTTCACATCATGTTAGTATGTTTTGTAACTATGTCTGAGTCTATCAATAGGAGATGCCAACCTAGCGAAATGTGGCATCATGCACCTAAACGTACGTGGCGCTCTGGGGTTTGGTGTCCCCTTCACATCCACCTCCTCCCTCACCCTCCAAGTGTTCCCAACCCAAACAAACTTAGAATCTTCTTTTAGAAATGTAAGTCACACTGCGTTACAATAATTCCCTACGGTGACAATATAACATTTGGTGCCCTGAATCTATATGTGAATTAAATGTGTATCTAAACACTGGAGGTAAGTTATGAATCTCGTGAATAGGTTAGTTATCCAGTTGGGTAAACATTTAGTAATATGAAAAGAGTAATTTAGGTTTATTACATCAAGAGAATCACATTAGTTCATTCATTTAAATTAATGCTACTCGGTATAAATAAAAAGTGTCCAGTATTCACGAAATTCTCAGAATGGCTCTATTAGTTGATATGGTTTATTGTTTATATCATCAGGCATCCGTTTTGTTATGAAGTTATAGCAAATCTACATTATAATATATTTAGGGAGGAAATGCTTCAAAGTACTTCCATGTACGAATCATTGAGACAATAAACGCTAAACAGAGGGAAAATAAATAAGGTGGGAAAACGTACTTAATTATGTTCTTATTTACAAATATATTTATATGCTCCTAAAATAATACTTATATTCACATTTTTCACTTAAAAGAAGGATGTTCATATATTTGAAGACATTTAAATACATAAGGGGAAGGGATAATGGGTCAAGGGAGCCCTGGGTGGGATAGAAGCGACGTCTCAGAAACGACAACAAAAGCTGTCATCTGTCGATACGGCAGCCTCGGCTCCTTGTTCATTAACGAAAAAATAAGTAAATATCAATATAATTATAAGTTTGGTATATATTTTGAGCTTATAACATGATTATCTACCTTTATAAACAGCGATAACAAGATGTAGCTGTTTATTTTCAGTAATTCCAAGGTAAACCGGATGAGCCTGGTGATTAATGAATGGTAGCAGTATGGGACGACTAATAATAACTGTTGTTAGACGCGAGTAGTTGTGGTTATTGGTGATGTCATAGTGTCATGGTTAACCTGGTCTTGATAAATGGTACTTTGGGCGGACATGTTTTAATGTGAATTTTTACTTTAATGGTATAGTTAAGACTCCACAGTTGTTTGGGTTAATATTGAGTAGTTGCCACCACCTAATTGACTTAAGAAAATGGATTTTTATAGTGTAAAACATCATGGTAATACAAATATGACCTTCATTGCCGTCGGAAATGAGCAGTAGTTGAGATATTGAAAAAAAAGTGGAAGGTCAAACAATGTAAAAAACCTAAAAAACTATAAGAAACCCTAACCTAACCCCTAGTGTGTAAGAAACTTACCTTACGTAGGAGATACAGGAGGATAGAGTGATGTGACTTGAATGAGGGAGTGGTGTCTTTGTCAGTGTGTCTCTTAACACAGTACTGTGCATGGTGATCTACACGGTACTGACATTCTAAATTACACTGTGGACACTTTACAGATGAAACAAGAACACTGTGATCCCTAAAAATGACAATGGCTGCTGCTTCATTGTACAAAATACGCTGATTAATGTGCCAGCCAGCCAGTGTACATCCTTCCCACACAGCTGCCCACAAATGGAGAGTCTGACTAGTGCATGAGTATTACATCACACCGGCACACACACTGATTAGCCAAATATTATAAAATAAAAGTTAAAATAACTCGAAAACTAAATTTCAGACGGAAACTTTATAGAATAAATTATTTAAAAAATATTTTCTCTATCTCCCCATATATTACTCTGTATTCAGTTAGATGGTGACAACTACTAAATATTAACCATAGTTTGTTCGAGAGAGTTTCCATGATCTTGATTTTGTTTGACAGGATTTTGGGTAAAATTGCAGATTACAGGACCAAAGAATGTGATAAAAAAATGTGTATCCTAACCTAACCTAATGTAAAATTATAGAATGATCATAGAAAAAAAATAGTTCTATCGATTGAGTGTAGTGAATTAACGGAATTCTGTGGTTGCTGTTTACTGTAATATTACCGGATTTTTACCTCGGGTAACATTAATGACAGGCGTCTGGGTTAATCAACTTATGGTAACACTCTGGAACACTGACTCGTGATAAGCAGCAACTTCAGGAGGATTCTCTATTGAAGAAAAACTTCTTTTCTACTTCTGCAATATCTAAAACCGTGGAGGCATTTCAGTTTTCTTAGTGTTAGGTCAAGTTAGGTTAATGGATGCTACGGTGTAAATATCCTAGTAGATACAACTCCAGCTCGGAATACCGCTTACTATAGTAGCACCAAATAGTGTTTGTAGGAACTTAGCTGGTCACAGCAATATATCCACTGCCTAATGTACATTTAATGATGGCACGCACTTCTTTTTCTTCAGAGGAAATTCATATGCTTGTTTACTTAAATATTTATGTTTTACATAAATTGTGAGACAAATACCGGTAGAATAGAAATTTTAACGTGTTGCAGTATATGGTATCCAGATTTTTATATAAGCCCCAGTACAGCTTATTAGTTTAACTTTATGTTGCCTAAGTTGCAAAAGCTGAAATTTTTATAGGAAGTCTTTTCTGAACTTAATGTATCTTCTGTCAGTACAGGTGCAGTGAGTTCAGTGACTGACAAAAGTTCGCTCCCCGTCATGAAAAGGAGACTCTGAACTTACCCTGACTGTCATGTGGTGCGGGTGTAGAGTCGATACTGCTTCAGTTTGGGAGGGAGCGAACTTTTCACCCTGAGTGTACTTTTGATCCCTCTTCACTAATGGCTGTCCTGTCCCACACTTTCAGACAATGCCAGCAACACAGAGACCCCAGGAAGAAGGGGACCGTCAGAAGTGGCACCAACAAAAAAATTCCAATCATCTATTCCCATCAATTTCGTGGATTGAACTTGCATTTTACTTCATTTCGTTTTGGACCGGATGTTTTTATAGTCTCTACAGATTTTATTCAATCTCACAAAGTAAGTTTTCCTTTCCTTTACATGTCTTTGGTATATACCTGTACTGTATATATCTGTGTAATTATTTAACTGTTATACTTTTTTATTTATTTATATTTTCTCTCTCCCCATTTTTGTGTGAAATTTACAGTATGGTATTTTATTTACCTGATAACTTTTTACTTTCATTTACTGTATGGAATTTTAAACATTGTTCTGTAAGTACGGTATGCACATAGCATGTGTTCCGACTTACTTACAAATTCGACTTAAGAACGTCCTCAGGAACATAACCCGGGGACCCCCTGTATTTACACATTATTTGATAGATTCTTGCATAAAATTTTGAGAATTTTACACAGTCCAAATTATTTCCTTTTATAAAAAAAGCTAAAAATGCATTCTAATTTGTCTTTCTTTTAACTGGTTGCAAGAACATTGTGCTTCCAAAGATGGAGCCCAATTTTCTGATTACTGCACTTGGATTTTTATTATCCACTGAGTTGGGTATCCCTTCCATATGCTCACTCCAGGTCCAACAGTCTCTCCTTTTGATTATTTTTCTTTCAATTATCCTGCAAACCTGTATGTTTTCCCTGACAGGTTGGGGACCATACCTACCAGTCACTCTAGTACAAGACAGCTGGTTTGGAGTGCGGCAAGACCAGACAGACTTAGAATGGTTTGTCTGGATACCCATAATTCTCAGCTATGCTCCCTGGGGCCTGGTGCACGTGGTCCTAGCTCAACTTATTAGAAAATGGTGTCCAGAGGTGAGGGAATAGATTATGATTGGCCATGGATGTATCTGTAGAGTGACATGAAATGAGCGAGAGGTTGTCAGGGGTAATAGATAGAGTAGTTAAAGGGACAAAGGAGAGTTTTGGGAGACAGTAGTCAAAGTTCTCAGAGGGAATGAAGGGCAGCTCTTACATACAATATATGCAAAGCTCTCGGATAGGATAGTTCTCACAGACAGTTTTGAAGTACAGTATATGAGGACTCGTGATAGACTCAAATTAGTTCTCAGAGGTTTAAGGCTTCACGGATACTTAGGTAATGTCAGTTGAAGTCACAGTCACACATTTTACCATACAATTCCATACACCTATCAGTTTCATCCCCATTCCCTTTAAAGTAATTGGAACAGGTGTAATAATCTCTTTAAAGGTGTAAAATAAATTAATATATGTATTATAAGGAGTACAGTACTTTATAACACATTTAGGAAGAATGAATGGTAGCAAATGAAGGCTTGCAGGGGCAGATCCAGAAATACCAAAAGAGGGGTGGTCCAAGAAGTTTTGGGTGGGGGAACATGGCAAGCAAAGCAAGCCCACCCATCTGTTTTTTGGAGGGCTGTAAACCCTCACAATTTTTTTTTAATCTGACCAATATCATGAGCATTTTGAGGCCATTTTGAAGCCATGTGCTCTAGATATTAGGAGATATTCTGAAGTCAATAGTAATTACTTTTTACCTTACAAAAACACCTGAGTACAATACTGCATTAAAGAAAAAGTATTGGAATTTTCTGATGAAAAGGGAGGGGTCCAGACCCCCAGGACATCCTGTCTCTGGATCTGCCTTTGGCTTGCTTTATTGAACAAATCTAAACTATTGTTTTGCAATTAATGAAGTAGAATGAACCAAAGTTTCCATGTATACAATAAGCTGAAACAGATTTGTATTGAATATACTAAACATAATTTTCTTTTTTTCCCATTTTTTCAGCATTTATGTAGCTTCTATGTCGTGTTCAGCGTGTGCATAACTGTTCAACTTATTGGGGGAGTTGGGACGGCTCTCTGTTTTATTGTGCCGTCCATCATGTTCGTGGTCCTTCTGACGCGCCTTAAACTTATCATCTGGCTCACCTGGTGCTGCCTCCTCATCCTCTTCAACACACAGTTCTTCATAAAGTATCTGGTAAGACTTAGTTGGATTGTGTATGTGTGGGTAAACTGGGTGCAATATATCTATTTGTTGCTGAGCACTTTTCTCTTACTTTATACTGTATACGGTGATATCTCCGTAAGCTGGAACAGTTGGTGCAGAGCACTTCCGGGAATGAGAGATTTCTGGGTAACGAGACGACTCTTTCAAACCCGAAAAACTCACCCATCCCTGGAATTTTCTGGAATTGTCTGGGTATTGGGAAAATTTTCTTGGAATTTTCCAGAAAATGTGCCCCTCGGAAAATCGTTCCCAAAGCCGGAATTTTATGGAAAATTCTGGCTTTGGTAACGATTTAAATTCCAGCTATCGGAGAGTTCTGGGTTTGGGGGATTCCGGCTAATGGAGATATTGCTGTACTTGTCTTACTCCACTCCCCCATAATACCCCCCACACCTTTCTCACAGTTAGCTAGTGGATGAATAGAACTTTACACTCTATTCACCCTCTGAGTGCTATGAATGTCTTTAATGATTTTATTCTGGCTGACATACGATGATTTTATTCAGCTGTGGGGAATCCTTAGCAGTCAGAGGATTAAAAGGAAACATACCAATTGTGTTTGGTTCTCTAATAGGAGTTTTGGCTTGATGAAATCCCAGACGTTGACTACAAAGTGTCGGTGATGGTGGCGTGGATCATCCTACGCAGTCTGAGCTTCAGTCTCGAAATCTGCGACACAGATCCTGAAGGTCAACTGCGGCCCCTACCACTGTTGACCACACTGCTCGGATACTGTCTCTATCTCCCCTTCCTCTGCACAGGACCTTATATGCCCTTTACTGACTTTCAGACTGGGGTACGTTGTTATTTTGAAGGTTTGCAATATGTCGGTCTCTTCCTCTCAGAATATTTGCTAACCATTTAGATCTTCCTCATAAACTTGGTGATACCTAAACTTTCTATGGTATATTAGCCAGATGAGTTACTGTACTGTACTAATAATACTCCAAGGGGAGGAGATTGATCTATGGAAAATTAAGAAAATGTAATCAGACATGTTTAATGATTTTTCTGATGAATCATTATTGCCTTTATTTTATATCATCAGTTGTCAGAAGTGAGGGCTTTGTAACTTTCTTTTGAGAACACTAACTTTAGACATTATTTCCCTTTTATATTTACATATTGTGAATCCTTAAATTTTTTCAGCTTGCGGAGCCGTACCGAACCTGGACCCTAAAAAGAGTCGCTGGTGTGGGATTACAGGTTATAAGATTTTTATGGTGGATGGGATTCACCCAGTTTCTTTTATACCAGTTTTATGCACCGTAAGTATATAAAAATTTATGAAATCCTTTATGATCTCATCAGCACACGTAGGGAAGCATATTGACTTGTACCTATCCATTCATTTATCCACACCACCTAAGGGCCCTAAGGCTCTTTGTAGGAATTGATTAGACATATTCAGGTTTGAGGAATGAAATAGTTTGTGTTTCTTTATGTGCATCTTTGAATTGGGTCCCGAAACATCATACAGTATACCTCTGTTCTGTCCCTTCATCCTCCCTTGGTTCTGGTATCAAAACCCAAGTTTTTGGGATAAGATTTCAGAACATCACCAATGGAATCACAGCTTTCAAACTCTCATAAATATGTTTTTCAGTTTTTGTATTTTATGTTTGATTAATTATAATTATGTATTTTTCCAGCTCACTGCACTTCATGCCACAGCTTATGAAGAAGATGAGCTCATGGTCAATGGCTGGGTTTGTTTACTTCCTCACAGCCTTTCTGCAGCTGAAATATGTTGGTATGTTATGACTCTACCCGGGTTTTAGTTGATCAATTTATCAAACTGCTTATTTTAGTTTGCCTGATCATCCTCTTGACAAATTATTTTCCCAGATTTTTCACTGTTAGCAAATATTATTAAGCGTGACACAAAATTATAAGCTGTTGTTATATCATTCCTCTCCACAGTGTTATATGGGCTGCCCTCTGTGTTAGCGAGGGTAGAAGGTTACGACCCCCCGAGACATCCCCGCTGCACTCTCATGACCTACAGATTCTCAGATGTCTGGCGGTACTTTGATCATGGGCTGTATCGTTTTATGCTCAAGTAAGTTCTGGGAATTCATTTTTCTATTCATCCATAGCAAGAAAAGTTAACATTGCCCTGATACTAACTACCATTTTTATTTTATTTTTTTATTTTTTGACATGCATTGACTGTATAAATGGGAACCTTGTCTTATAGCATTGATGAAGGTTTATTTATACATATATTAGGGAATCATGTCTTGAAAAATATATTGAGGCTGTGACTGTATATTGCCTTCCTTACCTGTTATAATTGTCTGTATATTGTTAGAATAGGTAGTAGTAGCTATAACTAATTTACACTTCTCACATATAAAGAACATGGTGCTAAATATCTACAGATTTCTTTGTGTGATGGATATGTTTCCTTCTCTTTGCAGACATATTTATATTCCTTGGGTTGGATCAGAACCTAGTATGGTTAGACAGCTACAAGGGACAGCGCTTGTGTTCACCTTCGTGTATGTGTGGCACGGTGTGACTACTCAGATATTCTGGTGGGCGACTATTAACTTCTTTGGAGTCGTTGCTGAAAAAATTGGGGATCACATCTCTCGCATGTCAGCTTATGAGGCCTTGGAGGTAAGCAGCTTGTGGTTTATAAGAACCTAATATTACTAGTAAGCTGACAAATAGATAGATAGATAGATATTTATTCAGTAAAATCGTCCGACAAATTTACATTAATTCAGCATGAACTGTACTGTATATAGATAACTCAGGGATGTATTTCATTGGTAGTTTGAGGACAGGGATACATCTGATTGGTAGTTTGAAGACAGGGATATATCTGATTGGTAGTTCGAGGACAGGGATGTACTGTAGTTTGAGGACAGGGATGCATCTGATTGGTAGTTCGAGGACAGAGAAAAATGGATGTAAACAACGGCGGCTTTAATCATGACTTAGATGTGTAGTGAAAAGTCAACACCTTACACTGCCCTTCCACTTCAGAGCCGTTGGTTGCCCGGAGCCTGGCAACGTAGATTCCACGGACTGTTGGCTGTGTTTTTGTACGTGCCTTCCCTCACCGCTCTCGTCATATTCATCTCCAACCTCGACAACGCCAAAGCTATAGGGCATAGAATATTTATCTCAGGTTTGTGTGTTTCCGCACAGTACTAAGCTCGGAAAAATTATCTCCGGAATTTTGGGTCAAGTTATGTTGTCAGGGTATCTCTCTCTCTATCTCTTCATTAACTCATCATATTGAAAGAGTTTAAGTCATTATATTGAAGTGGATTAAGTCATTGTATTGAAGCAGATTAAGTCATTTTACTATTAAAAGTAGTTAAGTGATGAATAAACTGAAGGAATGAAAGAAATGAGAAATAATGAAGTGTTTGGTGAGGCTTGGTGATTTCTTATCCCACTTTTATGCTCTATAGAAGTACTAATTCACTTTATTGACTCTTAAAGATAAATGCCTGACATGATAATAAACTTTTGATTCCTCTCTTAACCCTTAAACAACAGCCATCATTGGTGAGTGTTAGTTGTAGGGATGATGGCTATCATCTGTGGACGTTTCATGTTCCTTGTGTTCCAATTTTGCATATATGACGGGTGGGGGGATTCTGAAGTGCCAATTAAGGAATTAATGGATAAGATAAGTATTTGATGTTTGACTCAAAATATTAACTTGAAAATTTAGTTAAGTTGAATAAACTTTTTTTATTTCTTCTTTTCCAGGATTCCCACAATGCACTCTGAGCATATTCTTCTTCATGTTCTGTTTAGGACAGTGTAGTATGGAGCTACAAAATTGGAAGATCCGACAAAAAATAAAGGCGAAGCAGTCTTAGTGTATGTAAGATACAGGTTTACATAGTCAGCATAACTAACTGCAAGTGATAATGAGAATCAAGAATGTTGTACGGTTATTGTGTGCTATATACTGTACTGTCAGGCCTTTATAGTGGCGTGGAACTGTCACCTTTATTTCCCTCTTAGAATATACACACTACTTAATTTACTTATATTCTCAACATTATCAGCACCTTTTGGTGGATATCTTCTGTATATATTTTAGACGAGTACAATACATTCATTTTTGAGATCAGGGTAAATCCAAGAATTAGAATATCCTAATTACAAAAAATATATCATCTGAATAAGCTGACTTCTAATTCTTGCGATATGTTACACAAAATTATATTAAGGTTCCCCAGAATTGCACAAAACCTTCCCAGAAATTTAAGATTGGATATTTACCCATCTTGACCCCCTGCCTTGCCCACACTGCCTATCATAAGGTTAAGGCTTCATTCTCAGCAGGCTGTTCACATGCCTGTTATCTTGTGATTATTGTTGAAACACATCTTACTTTTTAATTTTGTAAGCAGACCACTAGAAAGGTTTGACAGCCAGCCATATTCTGAAAAGTTTATGCCACCAATGGATCCTTCCCCAAACTGTGACAAGGTGGGTACATGTCATAAGGCATGATTGAACACCTGATATTCCTGTATAATATTACTCCCAAAGTTCTTTTTTAACATTACAAATATTCATATTATATTATTTATGTGTCTTATATTTTATTCCTGATGGGTGAGATGTCTTAATAAGGGGATGAACCAATGGTGAGGAACTTTTGATAATATGGTTGAGTTTCATCAGTGTTCAGTTTAAGTTAGTGGTGGTCATTGACTGGCCTCACATTTGAAATACTGTACATATTTTATATGAAAAGTCTTTTTTGCCATTTGTGATGGATTTCTAACAATAGGGAAATGCAGGTGACTTCTTTTTCCACAATTCTTCTCAGATCTGTGTTATGTTTCATCATGGTAGTTCCCAACAACTTACCAAGAGTGATGCGGTAGTATGATAAATGCATAAAGCCATATTTCTGAGGAATTTAATTCAATATATTTTATTAAGAAGATAATGATTTGACAGTGTTGAGGTTTTTGTTAAAAGTTTAGGTATGAAGCTCAAAGATGACCTGAAGAGACAGGGGCCAGGAGGTCTCTGGCCTACTTATTATGAGTCATTAAACACAAGGACAAACTTTTGCAACTCAAGTGATGAAATAACTCATGTTTATAGAGATCTATTAAGGATGGATTAATACTCTCTTATGTTATCAGATCAATAAGATCTTGTACCAGGAACAATTGGAACTGACCCAGACATTTCTTATAGTACAGCACTGGAAAGTTTGGCTGCAACATTTCGCAATGAAAGTCTTAAATTTTATTGCATGGTTGTTGTGTACAGTGAGAGTTAAGAGTACAGTATGTCATTAGTTTCCTTATATGTTTGATCTCCCTGATAAGTGTTCAAAAATTTATGGTCAGTAGTTAAAATTTAAGCAAAGTCTCTATGTGTCCCTCTCTCCCTCCTACTTCAGGTTTTGGTAAAAGGAAGAAGTCAGAGATGTACAAAAGAATATTATTATATTGTTCCTGTCAATTAGAGATTAATTACAGTATCCCTAAGTTTTCAGAATTTGTTAATTGTTTAATTATAATGTTCTAACAGTGATAAAATGTGCCAAATAATGAGGCTTCATGATATATAAAGCTTATCCTTGGTAACTACCATAGTTTCCCCTTGACAGTAACAACTTTGACTAATTCAATAATTAGATAAAGCATCCCACAAAAACTAGAGCCTGTAGTCAGCGGTGTTCGAAACAAGAGTCACCAAGAGGCAGAAGGTTTGAACTGTGCAAATGTCTTCCTTCCAGCAGCATCTCGTATGTGAGGAACCAAGTTTTTTATTTCATTATTATTATCCCCCCCTCCCCCTGTCCTAAAATTTTTAGCACCCGAAAACTTTTTAGACTGCTCCTTAAAGTTTTCAACTTTATTATATTACAGTATTTAGTCAAGTATAGCCTAAGTTAAATGATAATGCAACTGTTGTTTGATGGCTGTTTAAGCTCTGTGGATCAGAGCTTATCAATACTACCAGGTATGTTCACAGCAGCCTGCAACAGAATGCAGGTTTGTGTAAATGTTCTCTCCTTTGTAGAAAATCTCTAAGGAGGTGTTCATCTTGCAGGAAATCTTTTGTTCCACTTGTAGTTTGGTGATGTTGAATGTAAAGCCAGATGTTTTGTCAAAGTTGTAAACTTTTACATCTAGTTTTCACAACCATGATTTTAGAATTCAACGATATTGCATCATTGATGACCTTCACGGAGGAGTTTGTTGAGTCTGTCATATAAGAGCAGCAGGTCATTGGCTAGACAAAGGTTACAGCAGTACCATAACACTATTGGACTGCTTGGAATTAGTGAGTTTGTGCCTTACTATGTCAGTAGGGTTAACTCCCCACTGAGGTGACTGTCACATTCACATTTGTAATTTATATTGCCATCTCCTCATTTTATTTCGTTGGCTTCAGATGAGCATCACTTAGGACAAGCATTGTATCACAAATGGAGTGAACCTGAAATTCTATTTTATGACCAAGCCTGGACTAAATCAATCAGCTGTTGTCCCTCCTCCCAGAAGGCAGCTGTGAAGTCAGTTGGAGCTGGGGTTTGGTGCCTGGAATCACAGCTTTATAACCTAGCCAAGTGTCTATCACAGTGTACCTGACTGGTATGACATTATGACTTCAACTTAAGGTGGTGACGTATTTTTCCAAGGCCCCATTTTAAAGGGTCTAGTTTTAGTCCTAGGCACCATTGTCTGAGAGTTAGCTGAATTTTAACCTGTAGTCTTGGTGGTTTAATATACAGTACTGTACAAGGCTCTTAGCCCATGCTTGGTCATGAAATGAGATTTTAGAATCAATCTTTCACTTTCTCTATTGGCATCTCATGACCTCAAAAGATGCTGAGTATATATTTTTATTCAATTATACATTAAGCACCCAGCTGAATTTGATTCCAATATTACAGTATAAAGATTCGAGCAGAAAGCTTCCTTTTTGTTAGAGTTGAAATAATTATAGATTCCCATTAACTTGACCAGTAGGGTTTCATATCCACCAACCGAAGTAATCATGTCATTCTAAATTAATTGTTTAGAATTAGCATCACCCAATGTAATTTTCTAACCAAGATCCACTTAAATGAATCCATTGCTTGTATTACATTTTTGTGCAGTTTAAATTTTGTTTCCAGCACAATACAGTGGTAGAGAGAGGGCTAAACGTATAGTGTCATTTTTCGTTTGTTCAAAATATCGCTTGTGTTCAGGAACTTTAGGAAGACTCGGTAGATTAAAAGGAATTTGGTGTACTTTTGAGTTTCCTAATCCATATTTTCTGTACTTATTTGCCACATAATTTTGGCCTCTTCAGCTTCGAAATTTTATGTATGTCACATTCCACCTTCAGTGATCATCTAGTTTATGCTGAGAATTAACTTGTCTCCTCTGCCACCATATTTTGCCCAATCAGTCAAACAATCAATCCTACTTACCACCTTATTTTACCCATTCAGTTAATCAATCAGTCCTTCCTACCACCTTATTTTACCCAATCAACCAATTATTCCTTTCTACCCAATCAGTCAATCAATCTATTCATTCTACCACCATATTTACCCAATCAATCAGTCAATCAATCAATCCTCTCTTTCTACCACCCATATTGATTACTAGTTGATACTGTGAGAGAATGGAGTTGTTTGCCCTTAGTGACATTTCTCAGAGTCACATCAGTTTGAGGCTTAAAGGATCTTTCTCCCAGAACCTTTTTAGTGATTGTACAGGAAGTTGAAATTGATGTATTGGCTTTAGCTTGTTGGATTTATCTTCCGTATTTAAGAAAAATGTTAATGCTTGAGCAGTGAGCAGTTAGATTTATATAGATTGATTATGATGTATTTACTGTACTGTATTTTGTGCATTTTGGAGCCTTGGAATGAAGTTTTTACTGTATTTAGGAACACAAAAGTAGGTTAGTATTCAGGGTTTTTTTACACACTCTTACAATTCCTTTAATTTTCTGTGCCTCTTACTCCAAAGGCTAGTATACCAACCCTGCGATCTTCTCCACTCAGTTTTGTGCTTGCTGGACGTTCCCACACTGTTCAGTGATTGCATGTACAGTACATGATGGAGTGGTGTACAGTACATGATGGAGTGAGGTACATGATGGATTGATGTACCAAATGTGAAAGGTAATGAGATTCATGGAATGTAGTACAGTAGAATCTATTTGTAGTACTGTATCTAAACAGTAATACATTATCTCCGTTAGCCAAAATTAAAATTTGCTCAGAATTTTTCTGGAAAATTCCTGGTTTGGGAAAAAAATTTCAGGGTTGAAAATCAGGTGCATTTTCTGGAAAATTTTGGGAAAATTTTTGGAAACCCTCTCCCCCCAAAAATTTCCCAGTCTGGGAACAAATTCCGAGGATGAAATAATGCGCAGTTTCCGGAAAAATCCGAGAAACTTTAACCGGTATCAGGAAAAAAATTCCGACGATGGGTGATTTTTCCTGGTTTCAGAAAGTACGTATAGTGTCGTTACCTGGAAATCACTCGTTCTCGGAAGTGCTCTGCACCAATTGTTCTGGCTAATGGAGATATCACTTATCATTTTTACTCAGTCTTTGGATCACATGAAGATTAGGTACCACAGCTTATTGAACAGCTTAACTTACCTTAATCTAACCCCACAGGTAGCATTATTCAGGTTAATCTAAAGGTGAAATAACCTGTGGTGCTAAATCTTTGTGTGATACCAATCTTCATTTGTATTCAGCATTGTATGAACTAACAAGGGAATCTGTGTAACGTAGTTTGGGGATTGGTTTATGTAATGAGAGATAAATAATACAGTACGGTCATAAACAAAAGTCTTGTCACCTCTTCTGCTGCTTCATGCACTCTTGAGATTCAGACTCATGAACCTGAAGCAACAGACATTGATGCATTATTTTGTCCATAAATTCTTCTGATTCACGAGTCTTGAGTCTGAATCTTGGGGTTCGTGGAGCAGCAGAAGAGGCGACAGGAATTTTGTTCATGACTACCTAGTAAGGGAATTGGTTAATATTCGGAGTTGTGATGACGATCACTTAAAAATATAGTTTGGCTCAGTGATCTCTCTGTGCCAGGACTATATCTTATGTTACTCTTACCTTTAATGCTCCAAAATGTTAATCATTTATGGAGGAGAACTGTAGAAACAAGCACGAATGTGATCTTTGTAAAGCATTTGATTGGTGCTGTGATTTAAGACACTTTTGTCTTATACCTCATGCCATAAGTTGTCCTTCCACTTGTAACTGTAGTTGTGTCCACAATATGTGAATTGTCAGCAGAATCTTTTGTCTTACATAATTGTGATATCCTCATAAGAAGCGATGAAAATGATCTGGATCTGTCATATTTAGACTGACTGTTATAGCAAGAGGGAATAGGTACCTGTTAAATATTATTCTGACAACAAAAAGTAGTAGTTTTAATGAAAATAATAGCAGTAGCAATAATAAAAATGATGATAATAAAAGTAACAACATTAATATAGCAACAATGTTAATGACAGTTGTTTATTTTTGAGAATTCGTAAAGCCATTTAAGAGACTGAAGAAAGATTCCATTTGAACAGATTTGTGTGTGTGTGAATGCATGTTTGGTTGGTACATATGATGCAGGCAAGCAAAACAGGACTACAATACTACACTCTTCCTCACTATTTGTACATTTATTTATTCATATTTAGATTTGTTTTATTTATTTTTACTGCTATAGATTTCAGTGCTTGTCAAGTCTCAATGCTCGTATTTAACTTACATAGTCGAGGATGGTACAGTATACCCATATGTTTAATGGATAAATACTAGCTATGCATTCAGAAATCACACATAGTTACTGATGGTCAAGGGAATCAGTTGATAGTAAGGGAATTGATATGATTTCAGTAATGGAAAGTCATTTCACAAGGTGTAAAATTCACAAGTTTTCGAAAAATTGAAGTGATGGGTTGTAGGTTTAATCCATTGCTATGACATCCCCATGAACCACTCACTGCCAGGGTCTTCCTTTACTTATTATCTGTTGCTTCCTGGATGTCTACAAGTATATATATTTTTATACTTCTAGTTCTTCCTTCAACCCAGTTTTTTGTTTCCTTTTAAGTGTTTCCATCTCTCTTCTTTCTTCCCTCTCCCTCTGGTGTTTATATTTGGTTTCACTAGTTTAACCCTTTCATTCTTATTGCTCATTGTCCAACACTGTTTCCATTATCAGGACAGTCACCCTTCTGTAGTTCTAATTCGATGCTACTATTGCGTGCGGTCTACCTAGCCTGACTTGACCTAACTTAACCTTACCTGACTTAACCTGACCTAACCTAACCTAACCTATAGTAGCACCTCTTATTCTCCACTTTCTCTTCATCTCTCAGCTTAACTCCTTCACTATGGGGATGCCACTTGTAATATTTTATTTGGGTAGCACTAGCCAATTTTGTTTAGTTCAAGGGGTGACCCTGTATACAAGGTGTTTGTAGACTATCTCCACGAACCCCTTCACTACAGGGATGCCACTTTTAACTTTTTATTTGGCTAATGCTAAATGATTTTATTCAGCTCAGAATTAACCTGTACACAAGGGGTTGATAATAATAGTATATAGTTATTAATGAAGAAAAAAAATCGTATTAAAGCTGCTTTATAATGTGCTGTAACCAATAAACGTGATATTGTGAAATTTTCAAATCTTTGGTGCCATATTAACAAGCATTCATGTTTTCATGATCTGTCCGTTGTTCATTTTATTGTTGCGCTGAAAGCTCAACTCAGACACACGTGGTGGTAGCTTCTGTGGGTCCATTTGGGCTTTGTAGTACTGTAGTTTATTGTGACTTTTAATGCAGTTTCAATGAGTCATATAATCAGGAAGAAATAAGTTCAATGGAGAGATATATAAGTAGACACTGTATTTTATTATGCCCTTATGCTTCACTTACGTTCAGAGATAGACAGTTAGTTGTTATTTCCTCGAATGTATTTTGCACCAATCTTGCTCAGAAATAGAAATGGTAGTTTTTCATATAGTTTTGTGCACTAGTTTTGTTCTGAGTTAGACAGCTAGATGTTCCCATGTTGTTTTGGGCGATGGATTTGTTCAAAGGTGGACAGGTAAAGATACGCCTGTTTAGTTTTGTGCATACAGTATTTATCGTTCCTTTTAGAGGAACTGTGTGTGTGTGTGTGTCTGTGTGTGGTGGTGGGGGGGGGGGAGTGGATACCGATGAACAATTATTCCTAAACCTGTATATGTTTCCTTATTACCGTTGTCCACCATGCTCAGTTAGTGAAGAGTCGAGTGTTAATTATTATAGATAAGTATAGAGATGAGATGATTTTAATTGCTGTAACACTGAGAGTCTTCAAATTTAATTTGACTTTTATTAAGGCAAATTGACCAAAGTGGTTAAGAAAATTGAAATTGACTCAGACAATGCTCATAGAATTATCAAGAATGATAAGAACACTATCATTTTTAAAGGATTTATGAAATATTGAAGGTATAATGTATAAGAAGACTATGTGAAGCTTGTTTTTTATAGAATCATAAAATTAATATACTATATAAAGATTTTCCCTGTATTGTATAAGAAAAGTTATAGGAATGAAAAGTTGCTGTAAAAGGTTATGAAACTGAACTGGATATTATGGAGTAAGTGAGTTTGTCCTGAGTTAAGACGTGTTTGAATTTAATTTGTACTGAAACTTTGTTTTTAGTAAATTTATCTTGTGAATATACGGAGGTGGAGCGAGGATGATTCCAAGTGGCATAAACCTAATCGCCTCCCTTCCCTTCCCAGTTCTCTATGTATTTTTTTGTAACAGAATTTATCTTTTAGCATTCACCATGTTTGTTATGAAATGTGATTGTATCTTTGAATGGTTATTCTTTTAGCCAATCAGATCTTGTAGTTCATCAGGTGTTACTGGATAAACCCCATCAGGTGTCTTCTTGATTCTCATATGCCCACAGAATGTTTGGTCTTTGGCTTCACCTCTGATGTCCCAAACTTTCTCACCTTGATAAATTGTATTGTGATTACCTGGTGAATGTAAATAATTGTGTTCTTACAAATGGAAAGAAAATGATAATTCTTCTTTTGAGAAAATATATTTTGCATATGAAACTCTTTTTGACTCATTCCTCAGTTCCCAGTTATGGAGGCCACTAATAACTGGTTATGGAGGCCACTAGTAACTGGTTATGAAGGTCATTAGTACTAGGTTATGGAAGCCTTCCTTACTCATACCAGTACCAATTTAGCAGACAGGCTGGACATCCAGTAACAGATGAAGGGATTTTTCAACATAAGATGACTCCAGGCAGCAGCAAAGGTGTCGACCACTTCCATCACTGAACTTCAGTATGCAGATCAACTCACTCCTACAGGAGATCCTGAATACTTATGCAGATGCATATGCACACTTCGGCCTCGAGGTGAATGTACGTAAGACTTAGATTTTCTTCCAGCCTGCCCCTGGTTCAGCCACAGCTCCACCATCCATCCAGGTTAACGGTACTACCCTCTCTAATGTTACCCACTTCCAGTACCTCGGCTCCCACCTGTTCACCACAGTGGACATGTGCATCTCAAGCCTATGGCAAACTCCGTACCCGTGTCTTCAACTGTAGGGAGCTGAAATTATCCTTCCCACTCTGCTGTATGGTAGCAAGACTTGGGACACATACAGGAGGCACCTCAAGGCACTTGAAAACTTTCACCAACTTAGTCTACGTTTCATCCTCCAAGTTTATTGCGAAGACAAGAAAACAAATGCCAGTATTCTCGTTGACACCAACTGTAGGAGCATCGAGGCTACCATTGTCCATGAACAACTACGCTGGACTGGTCATGTTACCTGCATGGATGACAGTAGACTGCGAAAGCAGCTACTTTACAGTCACCTAACAAATAGTAAGCGTAACGCCGGCGGGCAAGTGGAAAGGTATAAGGATCGTCTTAAGACAAACCTGAAAAATTGCCTGGGAGACAATTACTCCACACTGTAACACTTGGAGGAGCACCACATGAGAAGGTGTCAATACTTTCAAGTTAGCCTGACTGCATGCCGAGGCAGACAAGCACCACCACCCCTCCTGCACTAGATGTAGCCCTCCACATGTGCAACACCTGTGGACGGCCCTGCCGGTCCTGTATCTGCCTCTTAAGTCACCTCAGAACTCACCAACGAAGGTGACATTTTTAATAACTTGTGTCATTGTATCATAGCTTGATGATCGTCAAACTCAATTCCGAGTGACAACAAAGTAGTAGTAGTAGCAGTAGTAGTAGCAGTAGTAGTAGTAGTAGTAGTAGCAGTAGTAGTAGCAGTAGTAGTAGTAGTAGTAGTATGTAGTAGTGTTTGTGTGTGTTAAGTGATTGTGTGTTATATGCTTACACACCTTTCCTCATCTTCTCACTGATCAAGACCAAAATCTCAAGCTGATTTAAATTTCAAATTAATTTATCATTTCTATCACTTACTAACCTCTGGTGGTCGCTCTGTTCATTGCTTATTGTCAGTACCAAGGAGAGGTCCAGGGGGGTCTGGACCCCTCCCCTTTCACCAGAAAATTCCAATACCTTTTCTTTAATGCATTATTGTACTCAGGCATTTTTGTATAGTAAAAAGTAATTACTATTGACTTCAGAATATATCCTAATGTCACGTGCAAATGGCTTCAAAGTGGCCTCAAAATGCCCATGATATTGGTCTTATTTAACAAAATTATTCTGGGGGGGTGGGGGGGGGCTACAGCGTGCCCCCTTCTAATATTACTGGATCCGCTCCTGAGTATACTGTAGTACAGAAGAGGAAACCGAGGGGAGTACTGTTCACGGAAAAAAACCTGTATTGCACCATAATTAACTAAATAAAGCAAGGCCGTTCATATCAAGTCTCCTAACCAAAAACTGATTACAGCGGCAGTGATAGTGAAGGACTATTTCCTATTATACTGTGAGTGTGAACTCATTCAAGACCCAACATTGACGCAGGTACAGATACATTCTGGTCTCTGGAACCATTTGCCAACAGTGTGTAACAGTAGTAAACCAATTAGTGGCGAAGAGGATAAAAATACAAGCAAGCAAGCACATGATTTCTTCTCATAGTTGTAATAGATATACAGTATCTCGTTTGCCAACATGTTTGGTTGTGCCTCGACATTTCCGGAGAGACCTCCATTTCCAAACTACTGGGGGTATTTAAATTCATTTAAAGGTGTCTTCCTAGTTTCAAGTGAGTAAATTGCTTATTATGAATTAAAAAAAAATTCGTCCATTATAAAACCACCTCTATAATTTAATTAAATAATTACTTTCATGAATTTATAATCCATAAACTACGTAGATCAGTAAATTAACACAAATTACATAATTTCTTTTCATCCTTTTATTTTGTACCGCGGTACTCAAAACGTTTTCCTCTCTACAAATATCCCAAGTCTAACGTATTTTATAAATTATTGTGAAAATCTCTCACGTTTTATCATTTATTTCTCAGATTTATACCATAGATAAAATATATTGGTGTTGCCGATAATTTATTTTCATATTGTCTTTAATAATGACAGGTAGTGTAAGAAGTAAATAAAGAATTAAAGGCGGTTGACTACGGTAGTGTTTACAAACTGACCATTCAGCTGATTCTACACACAAGGAGACGTTCCTTCACGTTCACTTTCCTCCTTTACTGTCACCAGTTAACCGTGAGTACTGTATTATTCTTCTGCTGTTTACTGTAGTTCTCGGGTAATGTTTATGGTGTATTTCATGAGGGAAATATGAATAATAATGATATTAAGCCAAATGAAAAATTTTTTTTAATCACCTGGGACGATAAACATCACCCTAATCTACTGTTTGTTTCTGTTTGTCGTTGTTTAAGTATGTGTATGGGCTATATATGTTTGTTTACAGCTGTTGTGTACCTGTAATTTCTGTTAAAAGTTGAGACAATATGGTTTTTTGCGACAATTTAACTGAATACTTAATACAGTACGTCGAGAGAGAGATCACCAGCCGGGCTCTAGTAATCTAGTTGAATCACTTGTTTGGAATGATAATTTGGAGATAGCTGGAACCAAACACGCTGGATGTCTCTCTAATGCTCCTAGACTATACTCTGTTCACTCTGGGCAAAATTAAAATAAGCTCGCATTTGGTAGAGTCAGTGAATATTTGCAGGTGTTGGTGATATAGTTGGGTATCACTGATTGTGTTTAGCTTTTTCTTTTCACTTTAAGATATATGTATTATTAATATGGGTAATTATTTATGACTTCGCCTGTTATGGATTTTTCATAAAAAGCGATTTAAAAAATGCTGCAATTTCGCTCTTTTATAGTGGACACTGTCGTAGTTTGTGCAGATGTGTTAAACAATGGTTATTTCTAAATTAAACCTAACTTAACCTTAGTTGATAAGAAAAACAAAACCTCACCAACCTAACCACAGAAACCTACCTACCTAACTTCCTTGCCGTGGGGCTCTGCGTGGGTCAGGGTCATTCAGTACCCAAGATAAATCGTACTTAGTGAACTCGTACCCAAGCCAACTCGTACCCAACTCATGTGATAACTTGTACCCAAGATTACTTGCACCCAATTCAAGAGATAATCCATACCTATTAGTATACAGCTCATAGCAGACTACAGTACTTTAAGATGAAATATCTTAGCTCTCAAAGATGATAACTACTGTACCTGTATTCTTAATTTCTAAACTGTATTTTTTTATCACAGGAGTGTAGTTGGCTGGCAAACACTGCACCAAGATACTGTGTGGTGAACCCATCATACTTTTTGGACTACATTAGACTGGTGAATATGAGCGGAGAAAGTGGTGCTGTGGGCGGCATGCCGTCCCCAGTGTGGAGTGAACCAGATGTGACTGTCGACGATTCCCAACCCAGAGACAGAGAACCTGAGGGCCACGATCAGGACCACAAACCTGCCACTGAGGAGTCCATTTTCCTTAGTGAGAACATTGAATCATCCTCTGAACTAAATGTGACACCAGACTCTCAGCCTGAAGAAACAGATCCCCTTTGTTGTAGTGACCAAGGAGCAACTCAACCCATGGATAAGTTTCAGGATGATGCCAGCAGTGTAGAAAACAAGGAGGTACTTATTGATTATAATTATTTTAAATTAAGGTGAAATATTATGGACATATGCTGCAATATCTACTAAGAGGGTACACAGTATAATTTTAAGTAGTACAGGGGGTCTGGGTTATGAACAGGTTCCGTTCCTGAGGACGTTCTTAAGTCGGATTTGTACGTAATGGAACACATGCTATGTGCATACCGTACTTACAGAAAAATGTTTAGAATCCCACTATATCATAGCTTAAGTCTTTATATACAGTAAACCCTCGATAACTCGGCACATATGGGGTTCTGGCCTTGTAGAGTTATCCCAAATTCCGACTTATTGAGGCCCCCCCCCCCTTACAAAAATAAAAAAATAAAAGATTATTGACCCATATATGTGTACATGTAAATACTAAATGTAAAAAAGTAACTTACCAGCACTGCAGGCAAAGAATGAAGCATCATAGTAGGTGACACAGAGGCATGGTAGGTGATGCAGGTGGCCAGATATGTCGAGATTTTCCCAGATAATTTTATATATCTCGGCATTTCCCGAGTTATACTAATGCATTCCGAGACCATTCCAAGTTATTGAGGGTTTACTATACATCTAAAATCACTTAATTTAAGACAACAGAAGAAATAGAAAGACAAAATACAGTAAATGAAAGCAAAAACTAAGTCATCAGGTAAATAAAATACTGTAAATTCAAGTTCAACCCTGTTCATGCCAGCTGACGCTCGTAAGTCTGACGCTCGTATGTCGGGGACCCCCCTGTATTCAATATTATGAAAATTGTGATAAGTTTGTTCCATTTTTAGGATAGTTAACATTATATTTATTTATTATTCATGAGAACATGTCTTAATCCCAGAAGACTTATTTGGTTTATGTCTCGCAGAATGAAGCTTCTGGGTCGACAGACAAAAATACATCAAAAGACTTCAACCCCATTTATCGTGAGCTGTCCATGATTAATGGAGAGATTAATAGGCTAAGGAAGAACCAGCTGAAAAGTAAGTTTTATTCAGTATACAGGCATATTACTTGTTCCTATATGCTTGTATCTCTATACCTGTCTATGTTATTTTAGTTTCTATCTCTCCCCTTCTACTTCATGTACTGTATTATGTACGTATATTAATTCCCCTCTAGTACACACACCTTTGGAACTGAGCGCTTGGTGAATGTGTGAATTTTGTGAACTAAAGATTGATATGGGTGATGGACCTTGGGATGATGAACCCAGGATGAAATACAATACAGGTTAGGTATGTGGAGAATAGATAATGAGCCAGCCCTCTTCGACTCTCACTCCGATAACCTCTACCTCCAACAGATCTCTGGGCTTGATTAATAGTCATTCATAATTCAGTGTTCGAAGGACCAGTGTATAAAACACGTTTATAATAATAAAACAATAAAGATTCCTACCCAACTTTGGTGGAGAAGGAATATTAAATCACAAGAATTGGCGATCACCTACTTGGCTTCGAAGCTCCTTTGAAGCCTGATAGGATACCGATAACAGTCCTCACTGAAATCAACAATAGTAATTATTAGTTCCATTTATTGAATTATAACTTATATTTTAATGAGCTACTGCATTATACAGGATCTCTATACAGGATATAGTTACAGTATTCCAAAATCCGACAATATCACAAATCCAAGACCCTTAAGGCTCCAAGCATTTCGGATAAGGAATAATCAACCTGTACAGTACTTGTGTTAGAACCCAAAGACCATAGACATAAATTATTACAGGGGTATATAAAAGGTACCACCATTGACACCATGAGCCCGTATTATACACGAGTGCTGTACAGTGTAAGGTTAGAAATATAAGGGAAGAATTTGATTGCTTGGTTTGGTAAGAGAAGACCAAAGCAAAGCAGGTGCAGTATGAGGCAGGGTGGGTGTATAATTAATAAGTATGTAAATAAAACCAATGGGTCTTTGGCTCAGATTTCATTTCATCAGATTTGGGAAAAGCAGATCAAGAGGCATCCATATCAAGCATATAAAATAACTACTATTTTTATATTAGATAATTCTGACTCTCAGCAGATATCCATACCATTCATATTTGTCATTGATTTCTACCATCTCTGTATTATAGTGGGCAAGAAGCTGACAAGAGTGAGAAAAAAGTAAATTCCAGGTTGGGATAATAACGTCAGATGTATATCTTTCTTGTGTTGTTTCAGTGTGGTTGAGGTCATTCAAACTTGACACCAACGGCAGGAAGGATGTCCTACAAAAGAGACTCAAGACCCATTACAGGCTAAAGAGGTTAAAAGAGGAAAACATCGTTGACCCAATATTGATACAGCAGCGCTATTATGACTACTACGTGGTCATAGACTTTGAGGCGACCTGTGATGATATAAATCCCCACAATTTTCGGTGAGTCGTGATTAGTAACCGTTTGATTGCTGTATTGTTTTACGTTTTATTTTTTTTTATTTTTATTTTGCGTGTTGAAGCTGCCTCAGACTAAATGATAATGTTAGAGCCCTTTTAAACAGTCATGCATCTACAGGGTATACCACTTTTTTCTTCTTCTTTTTTTTAGTGTCATTCCTGTCTATTATTTTATTTGCTGAAGTAACATTGTAACATCTAGTTATGTTTGCTGCTCTTGTACTTCTTTAAGATGGATAGATAGATAAAGGTGGACACTGTAACGTTTGATAAACTTTTCTGCCCCTGTAGGTGGAAATGTAAGAAGAATGACACGACACGTAGAGTGTACAGAATATTGCTCTTCTAATCAATTCTATTTTCCTTGTGGTGTACAGTATATAGATACAAAACTATCAATGTGAAATATAGAATGAATAGATTATAGCCCGTGTATTTGTTCTCACCTTCCAGACACGAGATAATAGAATTTCCAGGCGTTCTGGTGTGCACAAAGAGATGTAAAATTATTGACGTGTTTCATTCATACGTTCGTCCGGAAGTTAATCCCAGGTTGACCAGCTTCTGCACGAGCCTAACTGGGATTACACAGGTATGGAGAGGTGTATTTTGATAATTCTTAATTACACAAACATAATTTTTTTTTTGGGGGGGGGGGGGTAAGAATTATGTTGCAAGGATGATTGGTAACCATGGTGAGTGAAAAGGAGTATGAAGGTGAAGAGTGAATAGAAATGGCAGTCACCCTATTCAGTCCATGTTGAATTTACAGGCATGTAGTACATTGCTCAGGATAAGGGTATCAGACTTTGATCATCATTTAAAGAATTAGTTGTTTATCAATATCCTGTTATATATTTTTTGACTGATTCCTACTTTCATTTATTCCTTATTATTATGTATCAAAATTTTATTCCACAGTAAAGTAATATATATTCACTGAAATATCTGTGTAGATTTTATTTAATTGTATTACTGTACATTTGTTGGTAAAATTTATTTTTGGGTTATACTGTATTGGTAAAAGTAGTCAAGTGGATCTCCTATTTTTCAGGACAAGGTTAATTTTGCACCGATGTTCCCCGAAGTCCTACAGAAGTTTGAAGAGTGGCTGGATAAGCATAAACTCACCACAAAACCTGAGAAGATTAAGTTTGCAATTGTGACTGATGGGCCGTGGGACATGGGGAGATTCCTCTTTCAGCAATGTCTCGTGAGCTCACTACTGTAGAACTGTTCTGTTCTTTTGCATGATTATTAGCCTAAGACAGCCAAACATTACCTTCTTGTTTGTAGGTTAATTACCTTTAGACTTCATATTCAACTCTTAAATTTACTCACTTATTTGTGTCATAAATACGGACTCCTCCATGGTGGGTTGTACGGGCGGTAGTACCAAGACCTCATGATGTGATGTAGAGTTACTTACATGTACAGTCACCTTCACTATCTGGTATTTATCAGTTTATTTACTTTTACAGATGTCAAATGTGCCCTATCCCTCCTGGGCAGTTAAATGGATCAACATCAGGAAAAATTACAGTAACTTCTACAGTACTAAAAGGGTAAGTTGTCATGAATGTGTGTGTATTTAGTGTAGAAATTGCTGTGTTGTCAGCTTTGAACATGGAACAACCCTCTTTGCTCTACATTGGAAATATATTTGGAGAATTTAATGTACATCCAATTGTAATATTTGATATTTAAGATTTAATAATATATGCTGTAATACTTAAAAAGTGTAGTGAGAGGCAAATTACATAAGACATTTGAAGTTTAAGGGAGGAGATTGGAGTGAGATGGGTGATTGATAGAGTGAGAGAGAGTTGTGCTATTTTGTTATGGGTGTAATGAGCATAAGTTCCTGAGGATGTATAAGGAGAGTGTATCCTGAGGATGTATAAGGAGAGTGTATCCTGAGGATGTATAAGGAGAGTGTATCCTGAGGATGTATAAGGAGAGTGTATCCTGAGGATGTATAAGGAGAGTGTATCCTGAGGATGTATAAGGAGAGTGTATCCTGAGGATGTATAAGGAGAGTGTATCCTGAGGATGTATAAGGAGAGTGTATCCTGAGGATGTATAAGGAGAGTGTATCCTGAGGATGTATAAGGAGAGTGTATCCTGAGGATGTATAAGGAGAGTGTATCCTGAGGATGTATAAGGAGAGTGTATCCTGAGGATGTATAAGGAGAGTGTATCCTGAGGATGTATAAGGAGAGTGTATCCTGAGGATGTATAAGGAGAGTGTATCCTGAGGATGTATAAGGAGAGTGTATCCTGAGGATGTATAAGGAGAGTGTATCCTGATATGTGTAAGATGAGTGTGTCCTGATATGTGTAAGGATTAATTAATTTTGCCACTTACAGTGGCTAGTTTATTGTGCACTCCATACTCATCCTGTGACTGGTAGTGCAAAATGTTTACAGAGTAGTATTCACAAAAGGTATGTATAACTTAACTCCAGTGGTCAGGATATTATGACATTGAATGTTACAGAGTGAATCAATACACTGAATGTTACAGAGTGAATCAATACACTGAATGTTACAGAGTAAATCAATACACTGAATGTTACAGAGTAAATCAGAGTGTATCAATACATTGTTTATCTAGTTCTGTGCTAGACGGTGACTTATTCACAACTGCATGAGTACAGCAGTGTGAGGCAATATGTTTGGCTGCACACCTTGTTATTCACATCTGCGTGAGAAGTATTCAAGCACATTGTGTGTTTAGCTCTATACATGAGAAATGATATTGCTACTGAGTGCAAAAAAGTGGATACAATCTTAATATGTTGGCTATCTTGCCATTAGCGATAAAGTGGTGTGCCATTTCACACACAGTGAGCTTGGACGTGTTCTGAGTAAAGGACATAGTGTTAGAGTGTGTGGCCGTATGTTTGACCACACACTTTACATTTAGTTTTGTTCACATCTGCCTGAGGGATATACTGCCAGAAGTACTTATATCCTAATCTTAGTGTAGCAGTTACATCATCTTGTAATCTAGTGATCTTCTTAGTTTCTCCATATACATGTTTCACTTGATACATCTCATCGTGATAAACAATAGATTGACTAATGCCTGTTTGCACTTGTCTGTTTGCATCAAATTCGTCAACAAGTTCTTTCCTAATTACAGTTTTAAGGGTTCTTTTAGACAGACCCAGATTGTATTCAACAGTATCTTTGTTAGGCGTGAGTTTGATGAGGGCATCAACTCTGTCATGTTCTTTGAGGCCTGTGTGATCTTGACACCCTGGCCAACAAGGTACACATATTTGTGTGTGGCTTCAGAGACAAGCATGTGACAACTTAAGATGATGATGTCAAGGGCAAGTAGTGAGGATGAGACTGTCAATGACAGTGTAAGGAGAGTGTGTCCTAATATGTGTAAGGAGAGTGTGTACTGATATGTGTAAGGAGAGTGTGTACTGATATGTGTAAGGAGAGTGTGTACTGATATGTGTAAGGAGAGTGTGTACTGATATGTGTAAGGAGAGTGTGTACTGATATGTGTAAGGAGAGTGTGTACAGTACTGATATGTGTAAGGAATAAAGAGTTGTCTTGCTTCATGTAAGTAGAAATCAATAATGTGTGTGCTTAGCTGTGCCTGAAGGATATGCTGGAGAAGCTTGGGCTAAGGTTTGTGGGTCAACCGCACTGTGGCCTGGATGATTCTCGCAACATCGCACGCGTGGCAATGAAACTGCTGAAGGATGGAGCCAACATGAGAGTCAACGAACGTATTCATCTGAGGAAAGACGGCACGTACAATCCAAAGTAAGGGACTCCTTGTGTGTCACATTTGGGATTCTGTATACTGTACTGTAAATACTATAACACAAGTGCTAGGGTATTGTAGTTACAGAGCGTCCTCGCTTAACATTGGGGTTATGTTCCTGAAAACGCGATGTTATGCGAAACAACGTTAAGGGGACCAATTTTCCCCATAAGAAATAGATAAAATATGGGAGTTACGTTCCCCAGCCTCCCTTTGCCCCATGAAAAAAGTTACATATACAGAAAATCATAGCCATTTCTATAGAAAATAGTATATAGAACTACAGTGCTAAGTTTGTATTGGTACTCACCGATGGGCGGAGGTGGTAGAGCGAGTGGGTAGTGAAGCGAAGGAGGAGGAGGGTCAGTCACTGAGACTGCGGCTGCCTCCTCCTCCTCCTCCTGCTCTGACTGGGGTTCCTCCACCGCTGCTTGCTCCTCCTCCGTTGATTTTTGCTCCTCCTCCGTTGTTGTTTGTTCCTCCTCGGCTGCCAGCTGTTGTGAAGAAGCTGCTTCTGCTGTCCCGAGACGAAAAAGTGAATCCAGTATTGACTGCTTGGTGCTACTCATCATCTTCTCCTTATAGATTTCGGTGTAACAACCAAGACTGTCCTCAATGCTGTGTTGAACCTTTGAGCTACATTCTCTGTTTGGGTCATCATCTAGAAGGATTTGCATTGCTTGCTGGAACATGTTCAACGATTCTACCATCCTCTTGGAAGTTAGCATTCATTGAGGTTCTTCTTCGTCGTCGTCGTCGTTTTCAACGGGACTGTGTTCTGTTAATTGTTGCAGATCTTCGTTGGTGAGCTCTTCTGTATGGGATGCCAGGATGTCCTCAATATCCTCTGGTTCCAGCTCATCAAAGCCTGCCTGTCTAGCCAAGCTGAGGATATCCCTATTCACTGCTGGGACTAAGCCCGTGAATCCCATAAAACTGTTGACACACTCGAGCCACAGTTAACGCCACACACCATTCAGGCAACTTTCTGAAACCTCTTCCCATGCCCTGCCAATGTTGTCAATTGAGTGAAGAGTTTTGAAGCCCCGCCAATATTCTCGGATCGTTGGTTTATTTTCTCCGTGTGTAGCCTTGAGCAGCTGGGCCATGGTACGGCATAAATAATACACTTTTAATGCGGCGATGACGCCTTGGTCCATAAGCTGCATCAGTGCTGTCGTGTTGGGAGGCAGGAATACAACTTTTACACTGTCGTTCAAGTCGTCGATATCGGGAGGATGAGCTGGAGCATTGTCAAGGATCAGAAGAATTTTGAAGTTAAGGTTCTCCTTGGCACAGTATTCCTTCAGTGCAGGGACGGCGTACACGTTCAACCACTGGCTAAATATGGCGCCAGTTATCCATTTCTTCTTATTTGCTTTGTAAATGACAGGAAGGTGATCCTTAGAGTAACCTTCAGGGCCTGTGGGTTGTCAGCGCAAGAAATTAGCTAAGGCTTCAGCTTGAAGTCACCGGCAGTGTTCGCGCCAAGCAGCAGCGTAAAGCGATCTTTTGCTTCTTTAAAACCTGGCACTCTTTTCTCCTCCTTAGAGATATAGGTCCTCTCAGGCATACTCTTCCAAAAGAGACCAGTCTCATCCACATTGAAGACTTGCTTCGGTGAGTAGCCTCCTTGCTGGATAATCCGTTTGAATTCTGGCGGAAATGTCTCGGCAGCAACCGTATCTGAACCTGCAGCTTCACCAGTCTTCTTTATGTTGTGGAAGCTACAACGACGTTTAAATCATTGAAACCATCCTCGGCTGGCCGTAAAGATCTCTGTCTTCGATCCTTCACCCTCTTCTGCCTTCAAGTCGTTAAACAAGGATCTGGCCTTATGCTGGATAACCATAAGGCTCACAGGGGCATTGCATTGATTCTGGTCCTCCATCCACATTGCCAGCATCTCTTCCACCTTCTCTATCACAGTGCTTCTAACACTAGTTGTCTTAGTAGCACTCAGAGAAGAACCACTTCCAGCACTAACCTTAATCTTGTCAGCGTTGGTCCAGGTAATATGCACCGTTGTGGGGGTTAGCCCAAGTACAGCGGCTATGTCCACACACGTTTCCTTTTTTCAAATCGTGTTAATACATCCATTTTCGTAGCAAGAGTAATGGTCTTATGTTGCCTCTTCACTCCACGAGCATCAGTAGCACTTGATGGGCGCTTGGAAGCCATTTTGAATGGTTAGAGTGCAGTTTTAGAGCAAAAGCACTTGAGCACACAGAAATGATGTGAAGTCGTAACAGAAACTGGCTTGGTGGCGCTTAGGGACGCTGTGACATTCTGCGAGTGAGGGCAGCACGCTGAGCCGAGAGAGCGTAGCGCGGCCAGCCAAGAGCGGGTGACGTGCCGTAGAAAGTAGTTTGTGACGACGCAAAACGATGTAGTATCGAATCACTGGGATGTTAAACGAAATTTTGGTCTCTGAAAGTTCAGCGACATAGTACCGAAACAACGTTAAGCAAGGACTTACTGTATTTATTTATTTATATTTTTAAATTGAGCGTTCTTGAAGTTCACAAGTTCAATGTACTTTTTGGCTGGTTCAGAATTTTCATGGAGCAAATTCATGTTGGAAATTTTTGTGATGTGGAATGCATGACAATATTTTGCCTGTCCAAACAGTTATATATGTGAATAGTGTTTAAGGAGATAGTAATATTTTCACTAGCCAGATTCCCTCTTAACCGGAGCTTTCCGATAGATGGAATTGAAATTTTCTCAGAAAATCATTCTCAAAGCCAAAATTCTGGGTTTGGGAATGATTTTCCAAGGAGCAGATTTTCTGGAAAATTCTGAGGAAATTTTCCTAGTACGTACCTGGAAAATTCTGGGGATGGGAGAGCTTTCTCTCAGGTTTGAGAGATGAAAATCAGGCACATTTTCAGGAAATTCCGGGGATGGGGAATATTTTTTTCTTGGCTAGAGAGATGATGTAATGGGCAATTTTTGGATCTTCTGAGAATTTTTTTTCCGTTAACTGGAAAATTCCGGGGATAAGGGTTTTTTCCAGCTTTGAGACAAAATGTAGTGCTAATTTCTGGATCTTGTGAGGATAATATTCCAATATACTCTCAGTGCTCACCATTCATTCTGATGTATCTACACTCATGCAGTTAAGGGCTATATGGAAGGTAAATTGTGCAGAAATGTTGAATCTAATGTTTTGTATTTGACTTCATTGTGTCATCAAAATATATTAAAAAATTTAATATTGCAAGTTATGAGACAAACTACAGTAATTTACCATTATCTTCCTAACTTTGTTTTCTCATCTGTGATAAATTAACCACTTTTAAAGTTAGAAGTTGGGCTTAAACAGTTGACTGCAATATCAGGCCTATAATATTACCCTATACATATCACAATGAAACACTCATTTTGCTTTACCTCAGAGAAAGAGTTGTTCACAACATATCTCGCCACAACTTCAATGGCATGAGGAAGAAGCTGCTGGTAACAGATAAGGGCAATGAAGAAAAATGCAATAATGGAGAAGGTGAGAGTGGAGGCGGGGATGACAGCTTCGATAACAAGGGTGACGAAGACTCTGGTACAGATCCCGAAGACGACAAGCCCTGGGTTAATCTTCAAGACATGGAGGAGTTCCCCGATCTTATGTCCAAACCTTTTGAAGTTCTCTCGCTGAAGTAATGTGAACCAACACAGCCACTCATCTTAATTTTGACCAAATTTTCTATAATTACTAATTGTTTTGACTCAGAATATAGTAAGCAAATTTTATTATTATTACTAATGTATTATTATTATTGTTATTATTATTATCATCATTATTTTTATTAAAAAACAAGAGTGTTTTAAATAGCACATGATTAGGAACATAGATCAGTGTAATGTATAGTTTATTACCTGCTGAAGAACCATGAAATTTAGTGTGTAACTTTTGTAAATAAAGAAGATTTTTTACAATTGTTCTTTAACCTCTCCTACCAGGCTACAGTAAGCATAACTTATAAACTGGTTATATATGCAAGATATAAATACATGTACTTTTTACAGGTTGGCATCATAGAGACATGCAGCATCCCATGGCTGTGACACAAGCTGGCTGGGATAAATACCTCATTCTCATCGACTTGCTGGCCTCATTTTGCCTTGTTAGCTGGCATTACAGATTATCGTAGTAGATTCCTTGACCAAGTTTGCTGTTCAGGGTGATTAGTGAATTGTTTTGTATTTGGTTGTACACATGGTAAACTATAGCAATTCCCTAAGGAGTTGACACTGCCACATGGTGCAGAAGTTGTGGAGACACTACCGGTTCCTTTTCTATAATTATCTGATCAACCAACACTCGTCTTTTACTCTGAGTCCCACTTACCTGCTGCCTTGTGTCTACTGTGTCAGAGAAGACCATTGCTATGAGGTTAAAGACAGACAATAGAACCATCTTCTCAACAGCTGGAGAGATGGATCGTCTGTCCTTTTCTTGCATAGCTTGATATCGGCTCTGAGCTGGCTGCTTGACACAGAGCTTCTTTTTTTTCATCCACATTTGCTTGTGCTTCTAGCAGCCTTAATTTCTCAAGGACATCACCGGGGAAATGGATGAAGCACAGATGAAACCTGATCCACCACTCGGGTTGAGGACGGAGATGTGCTCACCGTATCTTTGCTGCGATTTCCACTTCAGTGATTGACCAGTACGCATCTGCAGTTTCAGACCTTGATCTCGAAGATTTTCTCTGGACTGATCTCATAGGGAACTGACGAGAAAACCACGCCTTTCTGGGAGTGGAACCTGGAGTTGTTCCACCAGACAACCAAAGGCAACATCAGAGATTTCTACGTCCTGATCTACCAGTGGATACCCATGTGGCTTTGAAGGCAATCATGCATGGTCATGATAGCAAATATTATTGGCAACCATATCATACCCTTGTCCAATCAGTCATTGCAGTATATTTTGTCTGCCCAAATTTTTGGCCTGGTCATGGATTGCTTCCTGGCTACTTTTGATAGACACTTTGTTCTTTAACCACCTATTATTGCAGATAACACAAGGGTTCTTGGCATCAAATGATGGCATACACTGCCTGGTGACCTGGGAAGTGTGCTATTTGAGGTTTGATCAGCAGTGTCTGGTGTTCTTTTTCCAAGACTCCTTTTTCCTCCCAGTTTATAGCTCTTTTCATTGGTTGGGTAAAGGTTCCTGCATTTTCCATGCTATTTGGGTTACAGTATTTTCCTGTGACCCATGTGTCATTGGCTATGTCATCTTGCAGCTTTCTTGAAGTCTCATCCTGCCAAGCAGTCATGGCCACACGAAGGTTTGTTACTGATTTTACCTGTACCTTCAAAAGTCCCTTTTCTGATTGTGCCTGGCAAATGACACGCTTGTAGTCAACAATCAGTGGATCCTCTCACACTTTCTTTGGTCGCTTTAATGACAATACTCTTTCAATCACTCTGTTACCTGTCAGGCTAGTCCTCTTGACTCACACATCTGCAATAATAAACGCCAGTCGTTAGTAGTTAGAATCCAACACCATCCATCACAGACAACCAATATTCCCTCATACTACATAATTATACAGTAGTACCTATTCCTACCTCCCAGCCTCCTCCTACCAGTCTGCATGTAAATTTGTGATAACAAAGAGCTAAAACAGCATCCAGTATGCACCTTCATAATCTGAAACAGTGAAAATGGCACATGAGATGTTTTTGTGCTTCTAGAATTAGTTTCTGAATGGTTTTACTGTATATAAATAGGTCATAATCGCCCGTGCGGGTACCTTTCTTGTCGGGAGGGTCATAAAACTTTAAGGCTAATAAAAAATATCTGTCAATAAGGCAAACTTTATACTATAAATTTGTTTCTACTTATGTTTTATACCTAATAGACCCACCCAAACCCACCAATCCACACATCCTACCTAACCCATCCATCTACCCAATTTGACCCATGCACTCTATCTAACCTACCCACGCACCCCACACAAACTCGCCCATCCAACAACCGCAACCCACTCACTCAGCCAACCAAATGCACCCCGACCCACCTGAATTCAACCAAACCCCTACCCCTCCAACCTGAACCCACCCACCAACAAACATAATACCACCAACATAAATCCACATTAATTGTTAGCTAGTTCCATTGTTCCATTTATTAACATTAAATAACATTACTTAAAACAACTATATTAATTTTTTTACATTTATTTTACTAAAGCTACAACCTGGGTCTTATTTTATTCAGTTTTATATGTAGAACCAATGTCACTGGTTTTGTAAACAAAAACAATGACGTCTTCACTCCTCGTGTGTTTTAATATTCTTCGTATTATGAATGAATTGTATTGTTCATTTTGCACACATAAACAATAATTCAATCAAAAAGAAATTCAGAAACAATTAAAACATATATGAACAGTAAATAAGTGTTGCTTTCATATTCTTATGTAATGACAATATGTTTACACATGTGCTCACATACATACGCCATCTCACTTTTTTCTTTACCATTAATTGTTAGCTACTTACATTTTTCCATTTATTAACATTAAATAACATAACTTAAAACAACCATGTTAATTTGTCTACATTAGCCCCGTCCTGACCGCGGGGTCAACAGCCATCAGTGTAGAGGACGACCCTACCCAGGGACCAGTGGGAGATCCTGGAGAGGTGGTATTTCCGTAGAATAACAGAGTTCACGTGGGATTTCGGGAGAGGTCCACCGAGGGCAATCACTTCAGGTTGAAAATCCAGCCAGGGAGAAGGAGACGAACCAACAGCAGGGGTAATTTCATTCTTGTAAATTTTTATTTAAACTCTTTCTTTTATGGCGTTAAAAGAGAAAACATTTTTTATGGGTAGCTTTTTTACTTTTTTAATTATTGTGTAATACAGAAATTATTTTTCTTTATCCTCTTCGCCACTGACCGGCCTATCTATCTATCTATCTATCTGTCTATCTATCTATCTATCTATCTATTTCAAATCAGCGGTAACCACCCAGTAAGGTACGGTAACTACCATTATTGTAGTTGGTGAGGTTGTTGGTCTATTTTTGCACGTAAGGTTTCCTGAGTTAAAAGTTTAATTAATTTCAAAAATATTATATTATTGTTAGTAATTAGTATTGTATTATTGTTAGTAATTAGTATTATATTATTGTTAATAAATCAGTAATGTTGGCAGCCCTCGGCGGAAAGAGCCTACATTTGAAAATCCGAGTTGGCAACTCAGGAAAGAGGGGCTATACAGAGCGGCAATTGGCCAGAGAAGAGCAGTTCACGAGGAGACTTTGTGGGGGAGGTGCTGCCGGTCGTCTCTTTGACCAGAAGGCCGGTGTTCTTGAAATATATGGTAAGTTTTATTTTTAATTTATTTCGGTGGTAAAGGTCGATGTATTTATTATTTGTTTTTTGTACCAAGTGATATATTTTAAATGGAAATAATCTAAACGTACCTTTAAAAGACTTGAAAATACACAAGGCTCGAGTTAATGAACAAGCAGAAGTTAATGGCCGTTAACAATTACATTGACTAGTTACTATAGAGAATACTTCACTATTTTGGGCTTATTCTTTTATTTAAATTAATGAAATATGGTTTAGTTATGGTCACCGTGAAGACTGTTAATATTTAAGTAAAGTTTTATTTAAGTAACGATCATACTTGAATTTTGGGTCTCAAGTTTCAGGAATTATTTTACACAAGTATTAAAAGTATGTTACTCGTAAGCTTTTTTCATTTACTTACAGATGATGGATCCAATTGGCTGTTACTGTTGTGTTAAAGACCAGTTTGCTGCATCAGTGGTCGTCAGCGTGGGTAGTGCAGCACCACCGTATTTATTGAGGTTAGAAAGTTTGTTCTATAGTGAAATGTCAAGTCTGCTTCACTTTAAACTTGCCACTGGGGTAAGAGGCGGTCGAACGCATCTAGATATTATTGGCAAATTTACGGAGTATGTACTGGCTCTTGTTGGCAAGTACTGCACATGTACTGTCTGTTACACTGTTGGCAAGTCCTGGGCATGTATTGGCTGTTGCACTGTGGGCATGTACTGGCTCTACTACCCACTGTTGGCAAGTACTGTGCTGTAGTCACAAAAGAGCTCACACTCGGTGCCGTCACGATAGATTGTTCCAACCGTTCACAACTCGCTGCAAAAAAATTACCTGGAGTTTTCTGGAATTGTCATTAATCTTAAGCTGTGGCGTCTGCTAGTTAGGAACACAAAACTAAGTAATGCCCTATTATGTGTTTATTAACTTGTATTAAGTCGCACCTTGCCTGCCTATAAGCTGGACAATAGCATGAACCAATTGGCTTTACTTAACACAATATGCCAATCTCTCGGTGACCTATACAGTACTGTAATTATTCACACATCACCCGTTTCAGTCATTGGGGGACGTTTTGTTTGTTTATGCATCTGTACAAAAAGATATGCGCTCAGAAAACTCATTGTATAACTCTTTAACACTGGAAGCTCGCCATCACTTTATGTACCCATATTGTTTAGTTTCGGCCAATACACGGCCGACTGTTTTAACCATCCCCAACCTTTACATCTCATTTGGAGATTTCAACCAGGGGGCAAAGATGGTCAAATTAATTTTAAAGGTTTCCCATACCTTAAGGGGTATCTCTAAAATGGTTACCCCCCGGGAATTCAAGGTCAAAATCTATTAACTCCAGAATACACAGGATAAATTACTAGGGCATATTGGCCGAAAATGTAATTTTATCAACTTTAGTTTGATAATTTTTTCAATACTTCACTGAGAACATGTCATTGTTGTCACTCAAACCACATGAAGGTTTGCATCCTATTGTGAACACTATTTAAATGCTCGTCTTGCCCTGATCTGAGTGTGTAACTATCTTAGTCTTGGGTCTGATATGCCCACACGTAGAAAGCTTTAGGGGCTTTGAATTGCCCTCATTAGGAATCAGATTGGCTGTCTTACTCGGTCTTTCTCAGTGGGTTTGATCTGGAGTATACAGTATATTTTATCACAGTTTACTGGCTGTTATTCAGCATGGTGTCCGCATTACAGTCAGTGTAATTTCATTCCTCCAGTCACCCATAATGCTGTTGTGTATTAATGCCTGCAAACTGGCTTGGTTTAACTGCAATTCTGTTACCTATAAATACTGCCAACAAGGATTCTCTTGCATTTAGTTTAATTTTCCACCATTCATATTCAAAATCCTTCTTCCACCAACAAGTATCTTCACCTGGCTAGCTCTAAGGTCCTGTCTAGCATTAATACAGTTACTGGATCACTCGTTAAGTTACACACAGTAACTGGCATCAACCTTGGCATTCTTGACATACTTGCTTGCATCTACAGTGTAGTTGTCCAGTACGTTGTTCCCAGTACAATTAATATACTTGTATTCCATATAAACTTTATACGTAGTGGAGAATGTGGTTTACTTGTTACAAATGGTGGAAATTAGTTTTTTTAATATTTTATTAAAATTTACAAGGAACTTTATGTAGTTGTAAAGAATTACTAATTGATGTTCTGGGTTGACGCCCTGTTGAGGATTGTAGTCGTTGAGATAGTATAACTCGTAATTGTCAATGTTAGGGCCTTAAAATTTGAACTTGGTACTGATTGTCACTTTTGTTTATTAATGTTGCAGCATTCTCACAAGAACTTGGAGGAAGGTGTTGAATGTTGCTATGCCTTACTCTTACCAACAGCTCTTTGAATGTAAAACCTTTTTCACTAACATACCTTGCATTATGTTCATCAATAATCTAGTACTATAAAACATTGTAGGGGCAGTTAACCAGTATAGTCAGGGGTTTATGTTATACACTGTAGCCAAGCTTATCACTGATTGTACAGGTTGTACCTCTCTAGTCCGGCATTCTGTGGTCGGGAACGATTTTAGTTTGTCCAATAGGTAGCCAGAAAAGTTTTTTTTTTTTTTTTTTTTTATCTGAATTATTATTATTATTACAGGAGTATTAAATTTTTGCCCCTCAGGCCCCAATGTGGGTCAGTGACCTATGCCCGGGTGGGCTAATCCCCTTAAAAAAAAAAAGCCGCGGGAAATTAAGGTTTGTTTACATCCGGCAGTTCGGCTGCTCTCTCTCTCTCTGCTTGTCTATACAGAGTACAACATTTAACCCTTCAATATATATGAGCAGTAAATAAGTGTTGCTTTCATATTCTTATGTAGAGTAATGACGATATATTTTCACATGTGCGCACTTACATACGAGCAGTCTCACTTTTTTTTTTACCATTAATGGTTAGCTACTTATATTGTTCCATTTATTAACATTAAATAACATTACAGGTACTTCAAGCAACCATATTCATTTTTTACATTAATTTTACTACAGCTAAACTCAGGGTCTTATTTTCTTCAGTTTTATATGTAGAACCAATCAGTCACTGGTTTCGTAAGCTTTAACATAAACAATGCCGGCAGCCGTCTCGTCTCCTCTAATATTCCACGTATTATTAATAAATTGTATTGTTAATTTTGCACACACGTACATTGATTCAATAAAAACAAATTCAGAAACATTAATTAAAATATATATGAACAGTAAATAAGTGTTGCTTTCATATTCTTATGTAAAGTAATGACGATATGTTTTCACGTGTGCGCATGCTCACTTACATATGCGATCTCTCTTTTTCTTTACCATTATCGTTAGCTGCTTCTATTGTTCCATTTATTAACATTAAATAACATTGCTTAAAACAACCATATTAATTTTACTACAGCTACAACCAAGGTCTTATTTTCTTCAGTTTTATATGTAGAACCAGTCAGTCACTGGCTTTGTAATCAACGAAAACAATGCTGTCATTTCCTCGTGTGTTTTTATATTCTACGTATTATTAATGAATTGTATTGCTCATTTTGCACACATAAACATTAATTCAATAAAAAAGACATTCAGTAATAAACAATAATGAATCTTTTGTACATAAGAGAAATGACGCCGTTTACACGATTATGCACGTCGTCTGCACGTTGGCGGGCCGTTCAAACCTTGTCGAAATTCAAGTTTCCGCCGTCAAAATTTTTATTTATTTATTTTTTTGTTCCAATAAAATACGTTAAGAATTAAAAACTCGCGAAATTTGAGAAGCTACTATACGACATTTAACCCTTCAATATGTCTTCAAAGAGACCATGATGCAGAGAAAGTGGTGCTAGTGCTTCCAGGCATAAACACAAGTCACTATCTATCCGGGAAAAGGGTGAATTTCCATGGTCCGGCACCGGTTAGGTCCCGAGGTTGCCGGACTAGAGAGGTACAACCTGTACTAATAGGTAGAGCTACAGTAAAATAAGGTTGCTTAACATTGCATTTTCTCCACTTTTCATATTAAGTTGTGCTGTGTAATGCTTCATTTATTCAGTAAACTAGTCGACAGGTGTCCCTTGATATACAACAGTTTTATTCTTGGGAATGTGTTCATTAAGTGGAAGTAATTTGTATACTGGGGTTATGTTCCTGTGAGGGAAAAACTTTATTCATACACAGATAAAAGTGGCATCAAAATGGTGTTTATTCATAGTTTGCTTGTGTAGTGTAGACATGTGTTGAAACTATTGTTTATCAGACATGTTTTGTATATTGGGGGATACCTGCATTGATGTAGCATGTAATGTACTGTAAAATAGTAGTGTAGGTATACTATTTAATTGTTTATTACAGAGTTGTAACAATTATTCATTCTAGGATGATGACTTGAAGATGGAGGATCCACTCAGGAGTTTTCACCTGGTGAAATGACCCTTACTGCACTGCACTGCACCAGAAACACCAGTCCAGGTAATATCAGGAGTTTCTAAACTAAACTCAAAGTCCAGTAATTGTAACCCATGGATACCTTGTCTAGTTGACTCGTAAATGTCAATAAAGTATTAGTACAGTACAATATTAGGGATGCACCAACTAATTGATATGAATTGCAGATATTAATATTTTGTGGAATTAGTATTGGTAAACAAATTATTAGCTGATGTCATTTTGCCATCTGTTTTGGGTCAAGAAATTACTCGGTAAAATGTTATTAACGGCAAAATACATAATTAGGAAACCATTTATGGTCTGTTTACTTAAGGAAATGTCGCACTCGGATGCCGTTCATTATACTGTAGTTTTGTGATGGATAACATGGCAGTATCCTCTGGGCAGGTCTGTCTACAGTACTTAATTATATGGTAATGAATATATTATCAGGTCAGACAAAGTAGCTTTTATTTATTCTGAAGAGAAAAATAATCTGGTAAAGACTGTTGCTGACGAGAAAGATTGTTTTATATATTATGGCATCTTAGAAGTACATTAGATATTTTATTTACCAATATCCAAATTAGAACTAAGAATGACCCAGTACAGTATTAACTTCTAATGAATGACAAACAGTAGGTCTTCGAGGCTAGAGAGGAGTTTTTGATAACAATTAAAGATAAAACTCCCTTTAAATATATTTTATTAGAGAATGAGTAAATAATGATTAAATGTTCCACAATAAGTCTTAAACACTAGAAAAAAGTTGCCATTAATTAACATTAGTCGGTACTTTTTATTATACGGTACAAGTATACATTTAATGTAGACAATGTACAGTAGCTAAAACAACTCTGTACAGGTGGGGGTCTATATGCTCCAAAATTTTACGTGCGACTAGTGACAGCCCTCGTATGCCAATATTTATCGACCATGGTCTGGTATTGTTTCCCACAAAGTATGCACAGATAGTTTTTAGCTACTGTACACGGTATTCTTCCTGGATGGTTGCAGCTACCAACAGCCTTTAAATTATTTACCTGTAAATAGTGGCATCAATCAGTGAGTTGTTAGTGTTGTGTTGGGTAGACTTAAATGCTGCACTTGTGTAATTTAAAACCCAGCTGCTCTTACTGAAGTTGATGCATTTGTGGATGGGCGAGACATTATATAATATAGCGACTTTAACCGTTTTACCTGCTTGATAAAATTGACCTAAATTATAGCATTAACATTAAATCTGGCGGCAGAATATTGAGTGTTGAATCTGGTTATCTGTGAATATCCTTAATGGTGCATCACTAATGTATTTGATAGTTCTTCAATTACTGTACTAAATTAAGTGGATTAATGTGGTACTTCCATAGAGGATAAAACCTTCAGTTTAGGGTGATGTTATACAATACTGTATTAGGATAAATTAGTACTTGGAAAATATCTTGCTTGAAACCTTTCACAGGTACAGTACTGTATTAACTTTACTTTTACAATTAACTTTTTACAACTTCAAAATTGTTTAATACAAAACTTGAAACTAAAGAAATAATTTTTGCTCATTAATGCTTGACTTGGTAAATTCAGAAATGTAGATGGAATTGTGTACAGTATAATAATAATAATACGTGCATGAAAAGTTACCTACCTACCTACCGTGTGTACACTAATAAATTGCTACTTAGCAATGTTCACTTTCAATATACAATACTGTACTGTACCCAGTTGTAGAATCATATGAATATTACGAGAAATGTGATTGGCCAACTCGCAAGAAGTTCATTGTTGTAAATTTAGTGAAAAGTAGTTATTCACAAAAATTCCTAAAGTAGTCATTAAAAGAACATAAAAACAATGAACCAAAGATACAGGTTTATTGTAGTTGTGACTCGTCAATAACTTATGGTTAAACTAAACTTGCATGTAAGAAAGTTGTGATAGCTTATAGTTTTGTAAATATGATCCTTAACTTGTACAGATTCTTGGCAGTATATCAAGAATCATTAGGTGAAGGATTGTAATTAACAAATTTATTTTTTTTTTTTATATAATGGGTTCTGTACATTTGGTCAGTGTTAAGGGAATTTGTCTAAAACACTACAGTACATTTAGTCTTTGCCAGACTTAAAATATATTTCTGGTTAAAAAATCATTATTAATTTTAAACTTTACTTTGTACAGATGTTATTCTGAACATTGTGGTGGCTGCCTCTGTGCTGGCCGCTGCCCCTGTGCTGGCCTCTGCCCTTGGACTGCCCCTGTGCTGTCCGCTGCCCCTGGACTGCCCCTGTGCTGTCCGCTGCCCCTGGACTGACCCTGTGCTGGCTGCTGCCCTTGGACTGACCCTGGACTGGCCTCTGCCCTGTGCTGAAGAAAATTTTTTAATATCATTAAGTCTACTTTAATAAATGTCTAAATGTCACTACAAGTATTCATTAACCTTTTTCCCTGCTTTCACGCTTTGAACTTTTACAGAAAATTAAGTTCAGCTTCAGATTTTGAAGCAAAATACTTTATAAAGCATTAGAAAAATCTTGTACAGTATACAAAATAATATACAAATGAAAAAAATAAATATATATATATATAAATTAAATATATAATAGATAAAATATGAATATAAAATATAACAAAACAATATGAAAAAAAGTAAAAAAATATGAAAAACAAAAAAAAATTATGAAAAACTATACAAATATATGAAAAAAGTATAAAAACTATAGAAAAATAGCGAAAAAACAGCAAAAAATGGAAAAAATTGCCATTTTTTATGAAAAAATGGCCAAATTTGAGCAAAAAATGGCCCAAAAATTCCCTTTTTTTACCCTTAAGTCGATTGCAGTGTTTGCCATTGCCAGGAGTAGCATTGAAAAAATTTGGTAAAAAATAATCGGAAGAGTGCCAGGAGAAAAGCCTCTTCAAATTATCATTCACCAACAAAAGAGGATACAAGCCCAAAGGTCTACCTGGACATGGGGAGAATAATCCATAGGCACCTCACTGGCCCACAGTTACTCTCCCCATGTCCAGGTAGTCTGTTGTGGCTGATGATAAACAAAAACAGAGGTGCCAAGCTGGAGCTCTTGAAAATGGCAAGCATTTTATACCCCTAAAACCATACAATTTATTATTACTCGAAATTTACCCAGGAATAACTTTGGCCATATTTATAAACAATGCATTTTTGGACTTAGAATATTTTTTAAACTGAATTTTTGGACTTAGAATATTTTTTGGACTGAATTTTTGGACTTAGAATATTTTTTGAACTTGGAATATTTATAAACAATGCATTTTTGGACTTAGAATATTTTTGGACTTAGAATATTTTTGACTTCTGAATATATTACTATACACATCTAGACCTTAATAGATAAATACAAAAATATTTGGAGTAATCATTAAAACATCAAAATAACTCTGACATTTCAGTGCAGCTGCAGTCTACTGGGATATTTACACTACAGTACGTACCGTTAAAACGGATAGTGATTTGGACTTTCGCTTAATTCATGTTTTCTTTTATATAAACGATTGAATTTGGAATGAATCTGAAACTACCGAGTGGTTCAAAAGTTGCTTTTGGTGCCATACACAATATTCTATTCATAATTATTGTGCAAATATAGATATTTTAAAATGTACAATGAAAAGACAAAACTTCGTGTCGTGAAATTTGGTCATAACATATGCCGAAGAGCTAAACTTTTGTGCGCTCTGCCTTGTAGTAGGGCTCTATAACGTTTCACGAGTTATATTTAATCTTGGACAAAACCGAACACGACTTTTGTCTTTAATTGTACATACAATAATAGAGTAATAAATAAATAATGTGAGGTGAGATCATGAAATGATGATATTCCAAAGTGTAATGGCCCACACTGGTAAACCATAAGAAAACCCTCATTGGAGAACTAAAGACAAAATTTTTGAGTTGGACTTCTTTCACAGCACATTATGCAAAACTAACCTTCAAAATAATATCAGAATCACATTGAAATATTATCTGAAAGTTGATGGATGAGTGTGACAGATCAGTTTACATCTAGTTGTCAGCAGAGGCGGAAAAATTACCAAGAGTCATATTTCCCGCCTCTGTTGACCATCGTAATATTTCAATGTACTGATCTTTTAAAATGTTAGCTTTGCATAATGTAGTATTACTAATATGTAATTTGTCTTAGCATGCCTTATTATGGGTAAAATAAGTATATATTAAATGCATCCTCGAAAAGAGCTCAATTTGCTACCAGAGTTTAACAGTTAATTCATGTATAATACTTGATAAACTTCCCACATGCTCATGTTTGAAATAATAAATGTTTGTATCTTTATAATTATTAAATATCTTTCTCGTCAGAACCGTCATCCCAACCATTATGAATAAACTCATTTAGAAATACATCATTACTTCAGGATGAAATCAGACAGATTTGCATCACTAATCAGCAGTACCTCTTGAGGAGGAGGCACTTTTCAGCTGGGAAAACGCACAATAGGTCCCCTTTTCTGCCAACCAACACAACAAAACAAGGGAGAAACACAGAACAAAGGAATCAGTCTCCTGAGTTAGGTAGGTGGATAGATTAATCTTCTGATGGCAGCAGGACCCCAGACATGATCCTGAATCTATTACACTTTCTGGAATATCATCTACATATTATCAGTTCACATCACAGTTCTTACATTTATTTATGACTGTATTATTTACTAATATAACTGTTTACTTTTATACAGTAATTATAAAATAGAGTATTTTATGGAAGACAAGGCTTCGGTACTGAGAATACGAAGGAATACCTGAACAAACAAAAATTGAGAAATTGTCGAACATCAAAATATTCTAACCCGGTTAAGATTTTCAGTAATTCTGTGACCACAAACTGCAACTATATCTTCATTGATTCGCTAAAAGACTCTCGATCACTGGAACTAATGAAAATACAAAGTAACTCGAGTTCAGAATATTTGATATTATTCTATTAAATTTCAATTCTTGTGTTCAATCATTCTTTGTTTTCTGTCTAGCTTGTTCAGATTGTTCCTCATTATTCCAAGCACAAACATACCAGTTACTATAGTAGCACCAACATTCTGCTACAACCCCTCCTCACATTCTTGCCTCCAACCCCTCCCATTCATTCATGCTTCTGACCCAGCAAGCTTCTCCTTCTCTCCACAAGCCTAACCATCTCAGCTTAGCCCCATACTGTACTTGCTACACCCATCTTCCACATCTCACACAATATTCTTTTCTTTTTTATCTCTCTCCACTTCATCATTCCCCGCCACAAATCTTATCAACCACACTCCAACCCGGACATCTTTATTAAGACCCAGCATCTAAGCACACTGCCCCTCACTCTGTCACTGGCTTTTTCCCTAGCCTCAACTCAAAAGAAAATGCCCCTTTAACGCACATTCAGTTCCTCACACCCCACACTTCCTCTTGAACATCCACCTTCTTCCTCTCCATCTTTAAGTAACATACACACACACACACACGCAAATCAATAGCTTCCTTAACAACAACCTGTTCTAATTTCCTGAAAAAATGTAGCCACAATCTGGGTTTCTGTGTCACCTGACCTAGGCCTCACATGGTCAGCCTCCATTGCCCCTTCAACACAAACATGTTGCATACCATCCCAGACTCAAGTATTCTTTCACCTTCAGTATTCCTCATTCCAAAGCCTTTCCCACCATGCAAGCCTTCATAGCCCAGCTACACAAATTTAGAAAATGAAATGATTTCTAAACAGAGATCACTACAATATGAACTGTATCCCCAAAACAACATTAACTGGTCTGACTATAAACAGAATAATTGTCTCATAAGTCAATCAACCGATTTAGAGCAACATTAAATAACAATCTAACTAGTGATATTGAATTCCTTAACGAACAATAAATCATATATATGGTTTAGTTTAACAGAAATGGAAAGATATGTAAAAACAGAACAGTTCACAGTCCTACAGTAAATCATATTAACTCTAAGTCCTTAATTTCAAATCAGACAGATGACACTTATCCAGGTAATTTAAAAGAAAATTGAGCCAACCATACATGGATAAAAAAGTGAGAAATAAAGGTGTTCTGGTTATAATCAAAAGAAGACAAATTGTCAATCTTCCAGAGCTACAGCTAAACACCCCAGTTTAAAGTCCATTCAATATTTACCCCACCTCACACTGGCTCACACACTGCAACAGAGTAACACCTGTGATGAAACAAAATTATTATCAGGGAAAACCTCAAAATATTTCTATACAATTCAGAACTACTCAGAATTGATAGATAGATAGATAGATAGATATTGCCCAGTAAACTTATCATGCTTACACTGGTTCAACCTGCATATAAAGCCACGCAGGATACAGTACAGTACTGTAGTACATGGAAATACTGTAACAGGTATGCACAAGTGAGTTGTATTATATACCACATGCATCTTTACTACAGAACAAAACAATTTGTGTCACACCTCAGGTTAGCTACTATATATATATAACCTTGGATTTAGAGGATAAAATAGAGCACGTGTGTGAGGCCACAGTCAGGCACAGTTGGTCATGAGATGCCAGGACAAGTTGCAATAAGGAAGTTTACAGGTACCTTCTTTTATCACTTGTCACTGATTATGATCATCCTGTTGATGATGACTCACCATCCCTACAGCTAACTTCTGCAGGTGATGGCTGCCATTTGAGAGTTAAGAATGTAATCCATCCTCATGTACTCAGGAGGATTATAGAGAACAGTCCCAGTGTTCTGACCTGCACCCTGATAATGGTAGCTACATCACATTACATTAAAAAATGGCTTGTTATAACCAGCAATACGTAACTGGAACGAAGTACACTGAT